GATTGGGTAATCTGAAATATACAAAAGGAGCGGAAAGCCGAGCCAGCTCGACCTTGTCAGCCATTAGCCTTGGACATCCTTCACCAGCCTGGTCAGAAGTGCATATCCGAATAGAATTGCAAACCCAAGCCAGATCTTGTTGCGGCGGACCCAGCTTTGGCCTGCTTCTCGGGCGACATGGCCGCCTTCCATCACCGCGCCGAGTCCCGGAGCGCTACCATTCGGTCGTCGGCGAAGCGCACTTGTCTCTGGAGAGCATCTAGTCGCACTAGGATCAGGCATGAGCTGACCAGTGTTGGTGTCAATGCGACTATCCTTCATCCACCTCCAATTTTCTTGGTCAAGCTCGGGCCACTCCGAGCGAAACTTTAGACCGCCGTCTCCAGCTTTCACATTGTTGATACCCTTGGCAGTAGGGGTCACGCCTGGGGTCGCGCTGACATGGGAACCACCACCAGTAGAGTTCCACCACCTAGACCGCGCCGCCAGCACTCGTCGCTCTGCCTCCGATGCGCTCACGCTTCCGGTGGTCATCTCCTCGCTCGTCATAAAGGAGAGCAAGCCGATGAGAATGGTAGAAACCTCCCAAGCGGGATTGAATGACTTTGGATGGAAGTCACTGATGCTGAGGCATAGCCGAGTTGATGGTTGAAAGCGACCGCTAGGAGTGTGCATGCGAATAGCTGGAGGAGCAAATGGGTACTCGGGAGGGAACATTAGGGTACCCCAATACTGGCCATTTTCATACGGTGTGCCCGGGGGTCCCGTGAGAATATAGTGCCATCTAGATGAAAGGTCAACTTTATTCGCAACAGACGACGCAGGTAGCGATAGTGCTACAAATGACGTACTCGAGTATATTGGACTCCGACGGATGTGCCACAATGTAAGGCGGGGGGTTCTTTTGAATGTTCTGGTATTCGCGAGTAAGCTGTTCATCTGTTAGTTATATAATGCAATGGAATGGTTCCTTTTTGATAGGGCGCAACGCACGCGCTTGAAAGCCGCTTTTGTCGCCATCCTTTTTATAGTTCGTTCTGGCCTGTTTGCAATAAGATCGGAGAGGGGGGCGAAGTACGGAAGGACAAAAGAACGAAAGTAGCGAAGGTCAGGGGCGACAAGGGTAGAATTAATAACAAAGACTGAGCTGTTGGGAACTGGCCCGAAGTCAAAAGGGGCGGACAGGAGCAGATCGCAAGGCAAACGCTATCTGACACCAAGGCGATGGCGGAATGGGGGAGAGAGGGGAGAGATGGAAGATCTGGGTCTATAGTTGGTTTTAGTTGCGTTGCGGCCTGGCTTGTAAGGAACCCCCCGGAGGCACCTCGGGGAACGGTCACGTGCGAGGGCGGATGGCTTCATCTTCGCCGCTCCGGAAGGGAAAGCAGGAAAGGAAAAGCAGGTCTCATCTGGCCATTGCCGCCGCAGCAATGTCCTCCCCACTTTCTGCTGATGACGAAGATGTTTGTGATGCGTCCCCATTAGTTTCACACTGAGGAATTCCCCCGGGCACTATGCACTGACCACAAACGGCGTTCTCTGTCTTCTAGATCTTCGCGCGCCTGCAACAGCGTGCCGATCCGAAAGTGCTGAATGAGCAGCAGCAGGCAGTTGATGAGCGTGTTCGTGCCATTTATCAGAAGGCGCAGACTCGCCTTGGTGAATTGGTAAGCTACTGTTCCCTCATGGTTAGCTGTGGGCCATGAATATGATCATTACTACTACTATACATCGTGCGTCATGATAGCTGACCTATGAGCTTGCATAATATCAGCTCGACCAAAATTCCACCTTGCCATGCACTATCTCTTCGGTAGAGGTTCACGGCGCTCGCAACACCCGCCGAGGCTTCCTGGAGCGAATCTTCGATCCCCTTCTGAGCAGTAATCAAGACAGACCCTATACGCTCTCCGAGGCCTTGCGGGAAGTTTCGGCACGTGCGGACAAGCTCAACAGATTCGGTTCGTCCCTTCCCTGACGATAGCTAGCTTGAGGCTCGACTCTAATTTCATGATTAGACATCTTCCAACAACCCGTTTCGGTATACTTGGACCAGTCCGAAGTAGACGGGTCGGGTATCCCGAGCATTAAAGTTCATCTCTCCGGCAAAGAAAGGTCCCGCGTGCTGTTGAAGACAGGTACTGATCTTGGAAATGCCGAAGGTTCGGCTTATGGCAACCTCCTGTGGCGTAATGTGTTCGGAGGTGCAGAGAACCTGAACCTAAATGCGTCTCTGGGCACCCGAACAAGGTCTGCCTATCAAGCCACCTTTGACACCCCAGTCCTGAGTAACCCAGATCTCCGTCTGGAGCTTGGTGGTATTGCCAGTTCCACGCAGAAATCCTGGGCGAGCCACGAGGAGGTGCTTAGAGGAGGATGGTCCAAATTCCGCTGGGCAAGTCCTTCCGGTCAACAACATGAATTTGGCTACAACGGTTTTTGGAGACAGATGACTGGACTTGCCGAGAACGCATCCCCTACTGTTCGAGATGACGCAGGCGATAGTGTCAAGAGCAGCGTGTTCCACAGCTGGACCAAGGACCGAAGAGATAGCCCGCTTCTTCCCTCTCGTGGTTACTACGCGAAGTTGTTCAACGAAGTGGCTGGCTGGGGCCCTCTCAAGGGCGATGTCTCCTTCTGGAAGTCGGAGATTGAAACGCAAGCTGCAGTTCCCATTCCGATTCCTGGCATCAAAGGGGACAGTGGTATCAGCTTGACTACTGGCTTCCGCGCCGGCCTTCTTTACCCTCTTGGCCTCGATAGTGACTCCAAACCCCAACTCTCTCGCACGAACGACCGGTTCCTACTTGGAGGCCCTACGGATGTCCGTGGATTCCGTCTCTGCGGTCTTGGTCCCCATGATGGAGCAGATGCTGTCGGTGGTGATGTCTATGCTGCAGGAAGCGCCAATCTTCTGTTCCCGCTCCCCAGGGTAGGCGCGGAGAAGCCTCTCCGCTTGCAAGCTTTTGTCAACGGCGGACGGCTGTTGTCCCTCCGCACGGCTGACAAGAACGCACCTACTTCGGGAGCGGAGGTCCAGAATGCCATGGCTTCCACAGTTTCCGAGCTAACCAACGGTCTGCCTAGCATCGCGGCGGGTGTCGGACTTGTCTACGCCCATCCAGTGGCCAGGTTCGAGCTCAACTTCTCCCTACCCCTGGTACTTCGCAAGGGTGAGGAAGGCCGGAAGGGGCTGCAGTTTGGAATCGGCATTAATTTCCTGTAGAAAATATTTGACACTGTAACAAACTAGATAGAGGAGGGGGAAGGGAGACTGTGGAGAGTTGCTCATATTTTTATTATTTCCTAAGGGAGTTTCCCATTCCTGTTAGAAGCATGAATCAATTAAGCGTTGATGTTCTACGATTATTGGCTTGTTAAGTATACAATTTATATTTATATCTGTAGCGATATGAAGGAAGCGATGTGGCTGGTGGCCTTGAGGACTCAGGCAACTTATCTCACCGCCCGCCAGCTGTTCTCTCTCTACTTGCAACTCCTCGTCTCCATCTCCATCCTCAACTTCCCAAATCACTGTCTCCCCCTCTGCTTACTCTTCTAGTCGATAGTGTGACATTCCGACACGTACACTACGTTCTACAGTTTCTACTCATCTCTTCAATCCGACATCGACCCCAAAGCCTGGCCGCAATGGCCCAGTATTACCCCCAGCAGCAGCCTTACGGCGTACAATCATCGGCGCAAAACCTCCAATTCTACCCTTCATCCTATACCTCCGTCTCGGGCCATACGACCCCGTCACAGGCATCCTACGGCGGTTTCGGTGGTGCGCCTAACCCAGCATCTCAGGCATACCCCGTCGGAGGGGTTGGTGGCGGATATGGCGGCTTCGGGTCCCCTTCTGCGGGAGTCAGTGGACGGATGGGTGAGCAAGGAGGACTGAGGACTGGATGGCTCGCTGCATTTGGCACGGAGGGCTACGATGGGGAGCCACCACTTCTAGAAGAGTTGGGCGTCAATTTCGAGCATATCCGCACGAAGGTGTGTACATATTGCAAGCCCCCCACCCCCGGTCTGATCAACCAGCTATATACAGCAGGAGCTCTAGTGAAACCCAAGCTTACCATTGCTCCTACCTTATAGACCCTAACTGTGCTTAATCCTTTTGCGCGTATCGACCAACACCTCATGGATGACAGCGACCTCTACGGAGCCCTTCTCTACATCGTTCTATATGGAACATTCCTGCTCCTCTCCGGCAAGGTCTTCTACGGCTACATTTACGGCGTCGCAGTCTTTGGGACCGTAGCTTTACATCTCATTCTCAGTCTGATGTCTCCCGCCCTCGATACGGCCCCCATCCCCAACGCCGCAGATCCCGCCAATTACTCTCCCCATCACAAACCCACGATGTCGGACTCCTCCGCTGCCGGCCACTTCTCCGCTACTTTGACCTTCCCTCGATCCGCTAGCGTGCTGGGATACTGTTTCCTCCCGCTAGTGCTGACCAGCTTAGTGGGGATCCTGATCCCCATGGACACTCTGTTCGGATACTTGTTGACTACCGCCGCCGTGGGGTGGTGCACGTACAGCTCCTCCGGAATGTTCTGTGCTGTGGCGCGCATGCGTGGAATGAGGGGCCTAGTCGCGTACCCACTGGCATTGTTTTATGTGGTCTTTGGGATCATGGGTATCTTTTCGTCTCGGGGAAGTGGGACTCTGGCTGCTAAGACGGGCGCGGCGTGATACATATTATACATGCAAGCATGCACAGACGATATCTGATTGAAATCATGACAACGAATCATTAAGCTCTCCCTTTCTTCTATACATATCATTTAAGGAGACACGGATTGTTCCTTGAACTGCGTAGATTTATAAATTCTGAATATAGATGTCCACGTAAAGAGTTCAAATATAATATCAAGTCTAAGGGATATCTTCCAGCCATAAGTGCGTAGCAGGCCTCTTGAATAGTATCGTTGCCTAAGTGGCTGATAATATTCTGCATGGTATTGACAATATTAACAAATTTCTATTTACCGCTGAAGCGAATCCGTGCCTTCCCCCTGCGCAGGCGCCCAATTTTCTAACCACTCTCGCGCCTTGTCTAGGTTCCCCGCCGTGGTTTCAACGGCGGAAACGCACCACGGCAATGCATAGGTCTTGCCGTCAGCTACTGCGCCCTCAGCTGAGAGCATTTCTGCAGCAATGCGACGTTGCTGGCCTGCCTGATCCGTGCAAAAGTAGAAAGGAGCGGTGTTCGGCGCATCTCCTTGAAGATTGACGGCGTCAAGCAAAGGCCGCACTGCGGCTAGAATAGCAGCCGCGCCCATCGGAGCAGACACACCAGGTGTGGAAGACGGTCTAGCTTGCTTGCCCGTCTTGCAGTATTCGTTCTGACACCATGATTTGCCGCAGCCGCTCATCATCTGAGAGAGGTAGCGGCGCTCGATGCGCCGCCGGAGCGCTTTGCCTTCGGGATCGTAGGTGTCTACGTACAGTGGACCAAAGCAGATGCTGCATAGACCGAGCTTGACTGCAGTCTGCGTACCGCGTCCGTCAAGAGTCCGTCCGCAATTTTTGTTTAAGCATAGGCGAGGAGTGGGTCGAGACAGGCGTTCTAGATCATGATGGCGAAGGTGCATCTTCATGTCGCGAAGACGGATGATTTTGTCACAAAGGTGGCATTCGGTTGTCCGGCCACCGTCCACCAATTCATGTGGTGTGAGGCCGGAGACTAAAACGTCCGGATCATCCATCTCAGGGTCTGATTCACTCTTTTGAGGGACCACAAGATGACAAAATTGGCACAAAATGGGCTTGGCCGGACAGACAGTTGTGCGGTGTTGAGCGAGACGTGGGAGGTCCTCCGCCTCAAATCCACAGCTACTACAGGAGCGCTTGCTGTGAAAAAAGAGATTGTGTCGATTCTTTTCCGCGTCGCCGGTGCCATAAGCCGAGTCATGAGGACAATGCCAATGATTTTGCCATTCCGAAGACCGCTTCTGGAACACGTTCTGGCACTGGGGGCAGAGGATGTTGTTTCGAAGGCAAAAGTTCTCATGTAGCATCAATGTCCGTTCAGGTACCCATTGACGACAGTTCTTACACTGGACATCACCCGGTTCATGGCTTTCTGGCTCGATGCCTGCAGCATTCTCAGCTTGTGCGGGTGACGAGCCCACATGAACCTGTAGGCTATACGGCAGCGCCGAAACTCCAGTTTCTGAACTGGCGGTGGAAGTGGGTGCATGTACCGATATGTACAGCATCTCAGCGCCTTCCATATCCACATTCGTCGGTTGGATCCTAATCCGTTTAGTCGGCCGATTAGATAGGTCACTGAAAACATGCTCATCTTCCCGCGGTCGGTTCCTCTGGTGAGCAGAAAGGGGACTGGCAAAGAGGCAGAGACCTGCCTCATCGGCACCCTCGACAGATACTTCCAGTGCATTCGTAGGATCCCATTTGTGGACCTCGTAGTCGACATAGTCCCCAAGCGCAACCTGGCCAGTTACTACTTGACCAAGTCGCAACTCGCCCCCAACAGATGTGCCTGCCCTATTCCCAGAGACAAGAGCAGATTTCTCCAATCGTTTCTCCAACGTTTCTCTGGCTTGATCCTCCGTCAAGGCGACAATATCCACTTCCAAGTCTGTATCCACAACGCAGATGCCATTGCCATGAGGCTCAACTTTGTCAACCAAGAACTGGAATGACTGATCGCGCCCCCCTGCAACAGTGAGGACCTCCCCAGAGGTTAATGTGGTGTAATTATCCCGCAGCTGTTGTTCAAGCAAAGCCTTCCAATTCCCCGGGTCGTATCCAGCTTCTAGAGGGCGCAGACGGACATAAGTACCTTTTGGTAACTGCTGCGCATGGACCGTGACCGTGGTCGGGGCGGCTGGCGCATCGTCTGTCACTTCACCATCAGTACCATCATCATCGTGTGGTGACGGTCGTCCAGTGGCATCAATGCCAAGTGCCCCGCGCAAAAAGGTACTGAGACCAATCTCGTTCTCCGGCGCGGAGAACTCACGAACGCCAGCATATACCACCCGTTCGTTCTGAGGGTTCACGATGCGGAACGTAAGCGGATGGGGCAATTGCTGCTGGCGATCCACCGCCCGTTCGCGCGCCTGGGACTCGGCGGCGAAGGTGTGCGGATTGAAAGGATCGAAAGTGCTGGTGTATGGGCGTGCTGGACCTGAGGAAGTTACCTCTTGAAGCGGGGCAGCCGCGAGAAGCTGCTCGAGCGCGGATGGCGGCAGTATGATCTTATCGCCGGAAAGCTTGGGAATTTGCTGGGCTGGAGCAACGGTCAATTGCGACGACCAGCGCAAGGAACCTTGGTTCCCCGTCATGATATCCGAAGCGGGAGGGAAAGAGGTATGTGAGGAAGCAAAGGGAAGGAGAGTGTGGAGGGGAGAGTGGAGACGAGGGCAGTAGCGGAGACCATCATGGGTCAAGAATCAGAGATTAAGAATGATGGTGGGCGGGGGGGGGAGGCGATGAATGATGAAAAGAATGCATGCATACATCAGCCATTGCGGCTCATCTCAGGTTGCGAAACACCGCGTGCCTTCTGGAACTCCAAGCGCCGATTTGTCATCTAACTTCAGGCTGTTTACTGTCCACTTTCCCTACTACTACTCCATCTTACTACTACTTTTTGACAGTTAACGATCATTATTTTACCTCCTCTTGCATCCTTAGGCCTACAACCCTTTCAAGCTAGATACACTCAAATTATGGCTAAATCATACGCGCTGCAGTGGTATTCTGAGTGGCGAGAAAAGCACGCCGGCTAATATAGTACTACCAAAAGAAAGAAAAAAAATATGAAGAAAAAATGAAAGAGACGAGATCGTGAACCCTAACGGATAAAAAGCCTCAATATAGCAAGATGAGATCAGGCTGAGAGAGGTTGAGAATACTTGAATGTTTGAAGGATCTCAGAATTGCGTGTCTGCTCCAAACTAGCTCATGGGAGCCTCGACTCGCACAGGATGTCAGTACAGTTCTCTCACCCGATGCCGGGTACTGGCATTGCACCAATCGCACTGTGAGATTGTCAACAAGGTCAATGTGAGTCGCAAAAGGGGTTTGGGTGACTCAAGGAGCATACCATCGTCGACGAACATCCCTCATTGTGCTCAACACAATATTCACCACGGCAGCTTTGGCAAGTTCGCTGGCATTCCGTCTTGCACTGGACACACTGCACAAGCTGTTAGAACAGCGGCAAACATAACTGTAGTCTCATTGACTTACCGTTGGACCGCATTCCCAGCAATCTTTGCTTACACCGCGGCTGAATTGCTGTTCAATCTAGTCAGACAATTTTTCTACATCATACGGCGCCTCTCAGATACGAACCCTATGATCTTCGGACTGTTCAGTACTACCCAGATTGCTCTGCGGGTTTCTGAACGCTGTCTGGTGCGGCGAAAGATTGTTCCGTACACGCTCTGGATGAGGCAGGCAATCCTCACAGAACCATTTATTGCAACGATGGCACCACCGATCTGTCAAGCAATCTGTGCAGCGAGCGATTAGACTTGGCTGCTCGTCCGGAATCAACACCGGCCTTTTTGCCTCGACTACAGAGGAAGAGTGGAGCGGTGGCGGCGTCAGCAGGGGAAGGTTTTCATCCGGGGACTGGCCCCAGAAAGTCGGGCCTTCGGGTGATGTGTGGCAGCCATCGCATCCTCGGGGCCCTAGTGCAACAGTTGCCAGTTTTGGCGCAAGCGGCGGCCGGCCCTCTGGCTGAGATGCACTCTGGTCTTCCGGCATGGGAGTGGAAAGATCAACGTCGTGACGAGGACCACGGCACAAAACAGCGTCAAATGCAATGATACCTTCGCACTGCTTGATTGTCTCTGCCCAGCCATCCTCAATGCTCCGCTTGAAGAGCTGCCCGGACGAGCGATACCATGCATCCTGTTGCGGTGTGGCACTTTCAGCAACTTCACTAGTTGCAGACCCGTTTTCCGGACTCGGAGTAATGGACGATTGGCTGCCACATCTCGAGCTCCACCAGTCGCGGTATCTGCTGCGGATCACCGCACGGGACTGTTGGAGGGGAGTAAAGTGATAGATTCCTTTAACGCGGGGTGTGCCCTTAGGACGAGAAGGCCGTACCGCATGGGTCAGCACCTGCATCAGTTTCCGCTCATTGAGATGGCGGCACTCCCTTATAGATAGAATGTTGACGTTGAAGCGATCTGTGAGGATAATTTCCGCAAGCAAATCCGCTGGAACGGACAGCCCATCCAGAACCAATGTGCGCACGTCCTGCAGGATCGACTGCCTTTGGAGACTAGCAAAGATGCCCCTCAGAGGCGCAGAATGAATTTCATCCTCGACTGCGGAGTCTTCCCCTTGCTCACCACTCCCTACTTGCTCCGCCAAGTCTGTCGCAGATGTGCTGGCTGGTTTCGCACCACGACATTGGGTCAGATCAAGGTGGCGGAAAATGTAGGGAGTGTCCACTATCGATGACCGAACCTGGCGTGAAGTAGATGCTAGAGCCAACAATGAGGAGGTTGACAGATATGGGGCCATATGGTCGAGGATTAGACTGTTGGATAAGACATCGGCCAAAGAAGCGCGCTTGGGCGCAATCGGCTGGACAGGCCGAAGGTGTTGCTTGGACGAGGTCTTTACATGATCATCTTCATCATCGTCCGCCTGTACTTCGCGGACAGCTGGGACAAGTCCCAGCTCCTTGGGGGTCAACCGACTCGCGCCGTAGAAAAAGTCCGGCGCGCGGTCGATGAGACTTTGACGATATGCTGCCACGGCACCCAAAGCGAGCTCATCTCGCTTCGTAAATAAAGAGGATGCCGTAGGTTGGATCTCATGGAGCGCCGCTCTAGCCTTGGCTAGTTCTGTCTCCAGAAGATCGATGGTCGATTGAAGGATGATGGGCATGGCTTTGGTACTACCGGGATCGATTGCGGTGACTAAAGTGGACCAAAGCTCACCGCTGGACATACTAGGGAGTTATACAGAGGCTCTGGGCGTCCAAAGAAGAAGTGTCACGGGGGGGCAGCGAAAGGAAGAGTGGCAATGCGACAAGAATGAGATCACCGGACTAGTGGACGACGATCAGGAAGTTGTTCGTGCGCAATCTGCACCACTCAGGCCAGCTGGTTGGGTAGTTGGGCAGGGTGGCTAATAATAGGATCTAGAAATGCTATATAATGCTTGGATGTATATAGTACTTCTTTCTCCTCTGACGGGCTGGTCGGGCCGATTTGCGCAGGACAGTCAATGTGTATGCTGCATCACGATAGGATGAAGTATGAGTGTTCTCTGTTACTAGTTCGCGGATGTTGAAACAAGCACGAACAACGAAATATTACCTACCCAGTAGACAATGGAAGTGACTGAACAAGCGTGTCCGTGGGACCCTATTGGGTGAAAGGACCGGTAGGCAGGAGGAAGGCTTCAAGGGGAGGAAAGATGGCTTCTAGAATGCCGGTGGAATTGGGGGGTGGGTGCCTCTAGAGCTTATTTTTCAAATACGGGGAAGGGAGGGAAGATAAAGAGCCGTAGATAGGGGTGCATACGAGCCTGTAGGCAAGAAGGTTTGGGAATAAAAGGAAACCTCGTTGACAACAGTAGCCGGGGAGGAGGCAGTTAAATACTTATTCTTATATAGCGAAAAAAAAAAAAAAAAAGAAAAAAGAAAAGAAAAGGTAAAAGAAAATTAAAGGAACAACACAGACGGCAATGAAGAGAGAGCCAAAAGAAGGAAGCCGGTGTGGGAACCCAAGAGGATAGAGCAGACTAAATTCATGCAACCACTTGAAACGGACAACGGGCAAGAAGGCGAGAGGATGGCAAGATCCTCACCTCAGCAGCGGCCTACATGGGGGGAGGTTTACCATGCGAGCCGAGCCAGTGATCTACTTCGGATGGGCCTGAGAGAATGAATAGATAGATGGGAGCTGCAGGTTGTACTCGGTACTCCGGCCAGATCATCAGACGGGCCAAGCATTCATCCAATCCGCCAGGGTGGGTCGCAGGTTGGGGGTGAGAGTGGGGAAGGAAGGCAAAGGCAAAGAAGAGGAAGAAGGAGCAGAAGAAGCAGCCAGAGATCACCTAATTAGCCAGACCATGCATGACTCCAGACGGACCGGAAGGATAGGCCCACACCTTTTTTACTTCCCCCCGGGGGGAAGGGGGTACTAAGAGTTGGGTAATTGGGAAAGATTGAGAACAGCTAACTACGTACTTAGTAGATTATGCATTGGCCATTAGCCAGTCACCAACTTACTACTGTACCACGCTGTAGAACTACTATGACCACCTACTACTATCTGCTATCTAAGAAGGGGGGTGGTAGCATCGGTGTGATTGGGGGTTCTAAAAGGACGGACCATCTTATCCGGATGGAGAATGCATCTTGCCTCCTGTCCAGCCAAGCCCTCTTTTCCTCCGATTATCAGTAAGTAAAAAAGGAAAAAAGAGGACAGGGGTGAGAAAGTTCAAGTCGGATAAGGTAGTACTAGATGGACTACATAGTAAACCAGAAATGGTGACGGAAAATGAAAGCCGATAAGCATACCCCAGCATAAGTCGGATAACAAGCTACTAATGACATAAGAACGGACAACTCTCTCTTATTGGAAGAGATAACAGAGAAATTAAGTAAGATAGTGAATAATAATATTGAATCAGAAATAGAATAGCTAAGACAGGGCTCTAAAGTTTAGGTTGGATGATGATGATCTGGCAAAAGAATAAAAAAGATGGACGGTGACCAATGCATGGCTGCCGAGGCCGGCGTCCTGGCAGATTACCTATTTGGGCTGCCTTGTCCCAGATGGGTTGAATTCCGTGGGGAGACGAGGGAGAAATTTGGGGCAGATGGAAATAATTTCTCCTAGAGTCTTCATCTTATCTAGAATACCATGGAATGACTAGTATTTACTGTAGTACTAGTAAGTACTCTACTACCAGGTAGAAGCACTACTATAGTGGAAAGAAAAGTTGGAGGAAGAAAGAGTATAATGAAATACTAAAGATATAGTAGTAGTAATGTGTAGGTAAATTTGGGAAAGTACAGCGAACTGTGCCTTCCTAATCGTCCAATAGTAGAAATCCTCCCCGCTTCCCCCAGGAGTTCCATTAATTCCACCCCATTGCATCTCCCGGTTTCTCGTACGAGACTGTCTATTATGGAGTGGAAAAATGGAGACCTAACTGTTAGTCCATAACCATCCAGAAAGAAAAGGGGGGGTGGAAAGGAAAAGTGATCCACCTTCTGGGAAGGTCATCAGATCTGGACTGCCCCACTTGAGCCGAGACCCTGCGCATTTTCCATTCAACAAAACAATACTAGTACTCAATAATCCACGAAGTGCTTACTGACTATAGTTATTTTACTGTACAGAGTAGTAATAATTCATCCCCATCCCAAGAGACTGCAGCACAAAAAGTTGATTATTAAGACAAGGACCCGCTGGTCACGCGCACGTCAAAGTTCTTCCTCTCGACGCGTCAACCGGAGATCAACCGGCCAGTCGGGATTCTGGAAAGCCGCTATGAAGCCTATCATTACTCCGTACCTGAGTTTCGGACTTTGTGCTCCGGACGTCCAGACGATGCTAGGGATGAGAATACATTTAGGCGTTATGGGCACTGCTTTAACGCCGAGCGAGTCTCTATAGTAGTCCGTTACACGGAACATATCTATCTACACGATCCACAGTCCTAACTTCCCAAGTGAAACTATGGCGAAGTTCCTTGAAAGTATCTTTTCAAGTAACTATTAAGTATTATTTAGATGTATAATAGGCGGTGACCTGCTCATGTTTTCTCCGCGTAGATGCTGGCGATCCACTGCCAACACAAGCAACAAAATACATGTCATGCCATCTCCTCCTGTGCAGTACTATGGCCTGACCCAAAACCCCAGACGTCATCCTGTAAAACCCCCAGAGTCACCATAAGATTTTTGCCTTTCATACTTCCATACTAATTGATCACGCGGAGCTTGAAAGTAAGATGTGGTAAAATTGGCGAAACCTTCCTAGCCTTGCAGCTGCACACCGTACATGCCGAAGTATGTTTATGGGAGCCTATTCCATTGTACAGGCTAATTCAGATATACGTGTCTCACAAGAATTTTACTATATCTGCCTATCACCTCGCAGTCAAACTTCCTCCCCTGCAAACCCTACTTATTCCAGGTCCATCTTGGCGGCTTGGCTGTCGCCGAATCCATGTTGCCCATCCCTCTGCCAAGCCTGGTGTTGCACAAGATTCCTGGCGATGGACAGACAGAGAGTAGGTAGACTTCGGCATAGTGTACATATCAATCTAGTACATAAGTGTACTATACAGTCAGTAGTGGATTCTTGGCGGTCAGTTGAGCTCACTTGCTACCATCTTGTCGATCACTGCAGCACACAGTACTAGTACTTACTCACTAGCTGATCTGTACTTCCCTTATAAGCCCAAAAAGAAACTCTTGCGATCACGTAAAGAGGCAGGTAAGCAGCCACAGTGCATGTGCCTTGACCTTGATAACATTTCACTAAGACCTCACCCTCCCCTGATCGGTCTTGAAGAAACATGGCGCTGCAGTCTCCCCAATAAAAGCTTCCTTTCCAAACGGCATACGTCATACAAGCATCCGGGGAAAGGGGAGGCGATTGTGGCACATCTCCCCGGGTTAGGCAAGATATTGGGCATGAATAAGATCTATGACACGATCATCGAAGCATCATGTAGTTCATCCATTCATCCGCCAGTAGACAATGCCAGACTTAAGACCAAATAGATATGGTAATCACGCAGTAAGTATTGCCCAAGTACTACAAAGTAGGCCATGCCTGACTATGTGAAGTAGATGACGAGATGATCATCTCCTGAGCATCCAATGAAAGACGCACTTCATTGGTTTGCTACGCCTTACCCTTCCGGACTCTTAATAATGGGCCGTATGTCAACCAACTATGTAGTCACAAGGGTGTACTTATGCCTAGTAGTACGGCCAGATCTGAGACTTATTCTTCGCGTTCACCCGACCGCTAACAAACCCCCGATTACGATACTGTATGCGCACAGGGAGGCCCATCTTAGACCTCAATGTCACACACAAACATACCCGTTCTTCAACAGGGACAATGGGAAAAATTATGTGTGGGTGTTAAGGATTGAAATACATACGTGGCGATGTCGCCGAGGCGGCCATCAGACAAAATCGAAAATAAATGCCAATAGTTCTTGCTGTAGTAATCTGGTACTATTCACACGCCAACCCTTCTTTACTTGAAAAGCTTGGAGACCGCGACTTCTTTGTCGTCGTGCTTGTTGAGAATCTTGGCGGTGGCTAGGTCGAAATCCTCCTGAGTAACATGTACTCGCCGCTCTCGCAGAGCGTACATGCCTGCTTCCGTGCACACACCCTTCAGTTCAGCTCCAGAACATCCGTTCATCTTCTCCGCAATCTTCGTTAGGTTGATGCCTCGCGTCAAGTTCATCGACCGCGAGTGGATTCGCAAAATATCGGCACGTGCTTCCACCCTGTAAGACGGAAATCGATTAGCAAACCGTAACATAATCTTCACCTGACAAGAGCCAAGTCACAAGGAATACTCACGACGGCGGGGGGAACTCAATCTTCCGGTCAATCCGGCCAGGACGTAACAAGGCCGGGTCCAGGATGTCAAGCCGGTTGGTGGCCATGATGATCTTGATGTTTTTGGTAGGCTCAAATCCGTCCAATTGATTGAGAAGCTCAAGCATCGTCCGCTGTACCTCTGAATCACCCGAGCCCGCCGAGTCTATGCGGCTGGACCCAATGCTGTCGATCTCATCCATGAATATGATACTGGGAGCATGCTCTCGAGCCATTACGAATAGCTCGCGAACCATGCGGCTACCTTCACCGATGTATTTTTGCACCAATTCCGATCCGCTCACTCTGATAAACCGACAATCGGTATGATGGGCTACCGCTCGGGCAAGCAGGGTTTTGCCGGTTCCTGGAGGTCCGTAGAGAAGTACTCCCTTTGGCTGTGCGATACCAAGCGACTCGAACAACTCCGGATGTTTTAAGCCAAGCTCGATGACTTCCTTGATTTCCTTGATCTGCTGGTCGAGTCCACCAATCATGTCATACGTGCTGTCAGGCACCTTCTCGACCATCATTAGCGACACCAGCGGGTCAACCGACGAGGGTAGCATCTTCTCCAACTTATAGGAATCCGAGAGTAAAGCGACCCTCTTTCCTACAGTGAGCTTGCTGATATCAACGCCATCCGCAATGTCCACCACTATAGTGTCGCCAAGAGAGGTTAGTAAGAGACGCACGGAGTTGAGCGAGCAAAGACTCGAGCTGAGCAAATTGCAGAGGGGGTTTACCATATTTGCCCTCGGGATGCACTTTGACGAGGACTTTCTTGGTGCTCATCACTTTGACTACCTCCCCGACATAGGATCCAGGCTGTTGAAGCAGGCCGAGTTCTTCCCGAAGTAACCGCACCCTCGAATTATAGTCATTGCGCTGTGCTTCCAGTCTTCGTAAGACAGCCTGACCCTGAATGATTTCGAGCTTCATGCTCTCAATCTTGTTGCGATAATAGTTGTCGAGCGCCATGATGGACTGCCAGGTATGACGCTCCTAGATACGGCCACAGCGAGGCGTGAATCACGAAGAACTGGGCGTCGGCGACCTATTCGATTTGGGGGCAATCTCAGGAACCACTAGAGTCCTTTTTGAATCGGATCTGAGAAATCGGAAGAAAACAGCCGAACTGTGAGGCACAGTGAAGGTGATGAAAGGCGTGGTTATGGTAGCTGGGTCGAGAGAGCTCTTGCGGGATAGGTACCGCAGTTAGCTGTTAGTTTAGGTGAGGTAACCCGAAGTAGGCTACTAGCTGATATCAGCAGAGCGCTTCGGACAAACACACGAGCCACAAGGACTGAGGCTAGTGCAGCAGGTCATGTGATGTAATACTCTCTGGTTACCTAGTAGAGTGGGTAAGCCACCCAACCAGGACTGTTAGAATAATATGACACCATTCCAAACACACATGTTAACAACAGTCACGCTGGATTTAGGCCCATCTTACAGTAAAGAATAGCGGCACCAACAGCATGAAGCAAAGCAATAGAATAGGCCATTCAGGCAGATCCGATGGGATCCCATATCTCGTATGGTGAATGTATGTACTGTACGTAACGAGGGGGTACACGCATTACGTAGCTGGTCAGCGCTGTGGTACGCAGTAGATACACATCCACATCTTCTCCAGTCAAATGTTGATCAGCTTCAACCCACAGCCTACCCGGGTCAATCTCTCGGCATCCAGCTCAATTACTATTGCTGGACTTGTCTTTGAAATTGTGCAATCCTTCTTGGTCGAGTCTGTGACCTGCATATCTAAGGTCTCAGCTGACTGCGGGGATGCGAGTGAGACCTTATCTCATGATCTAACTAACTAGCTAGCTGCTTTTCTCATTTCGCGCCTGCTTTTCTACCCTCTCGCTTTCTGTCCGTCCCGGATTGTTTTTTTTTCTTGGGCTTACTCCAACATGTAACTTAGTCGCTTTTTGGTTCATGTTAAAAGAAAGATATCTCCGTTTCTGTTTCAAGTGCAGGCCACTCGCTTTTACTAGTGTTTCTCGAACTATCCTTTTCCTGGCATCCCCCAGCCTCCCTGTTTTTCCAAGATCATCACAAAGACGGTCAAAGGGGGCTGGTAAAAAAAAAAAAAGTTGCTAAGAAAATCGAGTCTCGAAACAAACTGACCAACCATGTCAAACAACGACGAAGGGGAGGGTCAGGGTCCTTCTCATCCCATCGATCCCGCCGACTCATCGTCAAACGTCGATAACGAGGATATGTCATCTGGAGCTTACCGTCAGCAGAGGAATGCGATACAATCCAGGCGGAACTATGGTGCGCTCTCTCGCTTCTTTGCCCCGTTGTGATCCAAAAGACTAATTTCTCCTGTAGGGACCTTGGATTCTCCCGCAAGGATGGACCTTGATCCCCGTCTGGAAGAAAACCAGCCAGAAAGCTCGAGTCGCATGCCTACCTCTCAGTCGACTTCCACCCCACCGCTGCAGCCCGACAGACCGAGGAAACCATCTGTAACACGCCGTATGTCTTCTAAGCGACAGGTACCTCACAAGGGGCAGGAATTTTCTACGGAGGATGATGTACAAGAAGTAGAGGAGGATATAGCTCTGCAACACGCGTCCAATCCCCAGTCATCGCCTAGGATACGTCCCTTGAGAAAACAAAGCTCGACTCTGCGACGAAGACTCAATGCTCGCATGAACAGCCCATTGATTCAACCGGAAACCGAAAACGAAAGCGAAGAAGTGACTGGCCTGCCTGATCCGGGTACGGAATTAGAGCCTTCGGCTGAACAGTCGGAGAGTGGGAGCCCTGATAGTAACGATAACAATGATGAAGATGAAGCAGAGACTAGTGATGCCGAAAGCTTCACGCTGAAGGATCGCCAGCAGGCCATCAACGAGACTCACCCTTTTGGGATAAGGCTCTGGAAACCTGCCTTGTACAAAAAGAGCCGTTCGGTAGAAAAGACCGCCGAAGGCGATATCCATTCGTCGCCTGGCGGTCGCGTGGGCAACTTGTTGTTCTTGACTAACCTTCTGTGGACAGTATTTTTTGGTTGGTGGTTAGCCCTGGCTGCGCTTACAGGTGCTGTCGCTTGTTTCGTCTTCGCATATTCACCCAGCGCACTAGAATATGGGAGAGTCTTCTCGGGACTTTCGTGGTACTTGATATATCCATTTGGCTCCTTCGTCCGTCTGGACACGGACGAAAATTACGCAGAAGAAGACGAGGGTGAAGGCCGCAGCATTAGTGAGTACGAACAATGGCAGAATGGCGACTTAGAGCATGGCCGGCTGTTCTTCGGACCTCGACGCGATCGGTCACTGGTCGGGAGAAGAAGAAACAGTGTCGACTCGGCCAGCGAACAAGATAGTCTTCTCGGGCGAACGCAAAGGGGCAGCCCTCGAGAGAGTCCCCTTAGCCATCCTAAGCGGCGCCTATTCGGTCGTGGCGAGTGGACGCTTGGCCGCGTCGTATTCTTCGTCTTTTTCTACTTTCTCGTAGGGCCTCTAATGCTTCTAGTCTCGCTGCTTTGCTGGTTATTGGTCTTCTGGATTCCCATGGGACGTGTGACCATTATCCTTTTTGATCACCTTCGTCGTCACCCCTTGGCTCTGTCGTACCATTCCGACACCACCTACACCAGACTCAGTCCCGGGTCCTCCTCATCCGTCCTGTTATGCACCTATCGTGCAGCAGGATTGAGGTATTGGAAGTATACTGTCGGCGGGACCAACATTTTCTTGATCAACCTTCTTGGTGTCGTATTATTTGTCATTTTTGACTACTTTCTTCTCAGCGAGACACTGGGCCTCCAATCTGCCATCACGCACCCAGGTCTTATATTCACCCTTGCGCTTGTCTCCATCATTCCCTTGGCCTATTTCATTGGACAGGCCGTTGCATCGATTTCCGCTCAATCCTCCATGGGCATGGGTGCAGCTGTGAATGCCTTCTTCTCGACCGTAGTTGAAGTCTATCTTTACTGTGTTGCTTTAACCGAAGGCAAAGGGCAACTTGTTGAGGGCAGCATTATCGGTAGCATCTTTGCAGGTATCCTATTTCTTCCGGGACTTTCCATGTGCTTTGGCGCTATCAAGCGCAAGACCCAGCGGTTCAATGTGAAGTCTGCGGGCGTCACGTCGACAATGCTGATGTTTGCGGTTATTGCTGCGTTCGGACCCACGCTCTTTTACCAGATATATGGCAGCGTAAGTGTCACTGTCTGCTGTGTGATTGTCCATCTAGCACTTTCGCTGACAACCTGGTTTTTAGCATGAGCTCAACTGCCGCTTATGCGTTACCACTGTAGGAACAGAGGACAGCGATTGTCGTCGCTGTTATTTTTCTCAGACGCCGGCCGTGAATGACAGCTTCTTCCGGAAGGCCGTCCAGCCATATTCGTGGTTCGCTGCTATATTCTTGTTCCTGTCCTACGTCATCGGGTTGTGGTTCACGCTGAGGACCCATGCTGCTCTCATCTGGGCGACAGAAGTAGAGGAGAAGAAGGCTGTAGCTCTCGCAAACGAACAAGCCGCCTACGAAGCTCGACACGGCGATTTCCCTCACATTCAGGCTGGGAGCACTGGTGGTTCCATCACCAAGGGCTCGGTTCGGGATTCTCAACTGTACAAGCGCATACTGGGGCAGTCTCTAAAGCAGGTCGGACTATCTGAAAACCCCAATGATCATAACGCCCAATCCGACTCTACCTCCTCTTTGCAAGGAAAGAGCACAACACCATACCTTGTGCCCCCTCGGACGGAAGGCGACGATAGCAACCCCAGGCTGAGAAATTTCACTGGTCTGTCCAATGAAGACAATGAGGATCTTGTGCGCCAGGTGACAGAGGTTGCCGCAACGGCTGCTGCTGTTGCCGCTCGCGATGCGGCCCGAACAAGGAAGCCCTTGGCCCAGCAAGCAAGCACGCGTCAAGCGGCTAAAAGTCCCGCTGATCAAGTGAAGACCTTGCTTGAGGAAAGCGAGGATATCGGGTTGGAGCCTGGCCATACTAGCGGCGGTCATGATGCACCCAACTGGAGTAAAACGAGAAGTTCTGTAATACTTCTGGGTGCTACTATTCTTTATGCTGTCATCGCAGAAATCCTCGTGAACACGGTGGACGTGGTCTTGGAAAGTGTCGACATCGATGAAAAATTCCTTGGAATCACGCTCTTTGCTCTGGTTCCCAACACAACAGAGTTTCTGGTATGTATTCCTCAATAACCGCTGCCAGCAAGATCAGATTAACTTATTCATCTGGCCCACAGAACGCTATTTCGTTTGCTATGAACGGTAATATCGCGCTGTCCATGGAGATTGGTTCAGCCTACGCTCTCCAGGTCTGCCTTCTGCAGATTCCTGCTTTAGTTCTATTCAGTGCTCTCTACGCCCGCGTCATCGATCCTTCTGAGCTACTAAGCCACACCTTCAAGTATGTTTGATCATGCCGTACTTTTTGTCCCTTAGAAACAATATGTGAAGCGAGAAACCTTGCTAACAACCTTTCCCTTACAGCCTTATCTTCCCGCAGTGGGACATGGTGTCCGTGATCCTTTGTGTCTTTTTGCTCTCCTACGTGCACGGCGAAGGAAAGAGCAACTATTTTAAGGGCTCTATCCTCGTTCTTACGTACCTCGTGGTTGTGATTGGATTCTATCTCTCTGGCTACAGCAACTTGGAGACCATGGGTGTCGATCGTTTCGATACGCTGGCCCTTGGTTCGAGTCCAGTCGAGAAGTATTATACGATCGGTAGGACCAGGAGTGGAAGGGCTTTTTGAGTGTAGATTAGTTTGTGTGTCTGCCTGTCAAATCCTTGGTGAGGGCTGGAAATCCATCCGCCTGAGGGTTGAGGCAGACACTTTCGCTGCGGATTATGCGTGCATTGCCTCCCGTGTTTTAGAGTCTGACAAGATTGCCCGAAATTGTTTAACATTTGCGTGCTGGTTGGGCTTTTCGAACATGTATATCTGCCACATTATTGAAGTTGTATAATTAGACTTTCATAATCGTTTACTCATGGTCTGTTTGCATGTCTTGCGTAATATTCTATGGTAGATGCGTGTAACATGTACGGCTATCTTTGCACGCTAGTCACTATTGCCCGCAAGTTTTGTCATGATCTCTCTGCCTCCTTCGGTAAAACGAAAAGAGAGACTGTAATTTTCCGCAACACGGAAAGAAACATTTTGATTGGAGAAAGTAGGTTAGGACTTCCAAGAGGCCACGGCTTGGTCTACGAGAGCTCGGTACTCCTGCTGCTTGTAACATTGCTCCAGGAAGACCTTGTATTTGGCGTCAAGCAAGGCCTTCTCCGTCTTATCCGTCGTTGGGACGACTTTCTTTCCTGGTTTGCTCATGCGGTCCATGATAGACCATAGATCTTCTGTCTTGCCTTCTGCGTCAGCACTAGCGGCTTTTGCACCCAGCATGGCTGCACCATGGCAAACAGCAGCATGAATATAACGAGGTATAAGCACAGGCATGTCACAGGCAGATGCTATCAGTTTGACCAAGATGTCATTCTGGCACTGAGAGCCCGACATGAAAATGGAGGTGAGGCTATGGCCTGCTTTGTTCATTGTCTCCACGATTTGCCTGGTTTGTAGCGCGATAAATTCGAGCGTGGCATAGTAATGAATGGTGAGGCCATCCACCGACTTGTCACTCGTCATCCCAATCAGAGAACCTGTCATTGCAGAGTCTGCAATGGGGGAACGGTTGCCCCAAAGATCGCCGTAGAAGAAAATGTGTCGGCCTAGATAAGAGATACTAGGAGCCTTCTGGTCATGAACCATTTCTCGAAGATGCTCGTTCAGATATTCATATATATTGGCGTTGTACGACTCAGCGATCGAGAGTGCCTGATTGAACGCGGGGTGGGTCTCGATAACATGCTTGAGCAGCTCCCCGGTTGCGGACTGGCCGCCCTCAGCCATCCAATACCCAGGCTGAATAGTATCGCGGTAAGGCCCCCAGACGCCAGGAACAAAAACTGGATCTGGGGACATCGCAAGATGGCAGGTCGATGTTCCAGCGACGGCGGCCAAGCGAGAGAATGCCTGCGCTTTATCGTTCTTGGCGATGTCAGAGCTCAGCTGTTCCGACTCGAGATCAACCTTAGCGCCGACGGTGCCAATCCAACCTGCACAGGCATCGATGACGCCGCTGCCGATTGCAATCCCCGGGGGCAGACCCAGCTCTGAGGCAGCTCTGTCACACAATGTGCCAACCAGTTCACCAGCGCTAAGATAATTGCCATTCTGAAGCATCAGTTAGCCGTCAAACTCGTTGCCAGGTAGGATGTGGGATAAGGGGGAACACGTGTGGTTGTTAGGATCATCAAAGAAAAAGGCTCACCACCCCGTCGACACCGCCCATTCGCTTAAAATCATCCTTTGACAGGTCCTCCAGACCAATTTGCTTCAAAAAGTCTTCCTGCCAACCTTTTACGCTCCCGTCCACTCCTACAGGAACATATCCCTGCTTGCAGACTACACTACAGAAGCTTCTCTGCTCGGCGCCGGTGGCAATGTAAGTTAGGGCATCAGCCAGGTCAAAGAATTTGCACTGGTCAAAGAGCTCTTTTGGCATATGGTTTTTCAGCCACAGGACTTTGGGGATCTCCATCTCGATGGACATCTTTCCGCCCACATAGCGGAGCAAATTGTGGTTTGTGGCATTGATTCTTTCGGTTTCCTCCACTGGGCGATGATCGAGCCAGAGGATCACATTGCGGTCCGAGTTGAAGTTGGGACCCGTCACGGAGATCGGTTCGTTCGTCACATTAGAAAAAACCGACAATGAGCATGTCGCATCGAACCCGATGCCCCTCACGGTCTCTGGGTCAATGTTGTGCTGACTGATTGCGCGCTGAACAGCTACACAAATGCATCGCCAGATATCATTCGTAGATTGTTCCTGGACGACAGGGGAGTCAATCGGAGGCCACACATAGCCTTACGATAGTGACCAGGCAAGAGGAAGTTTGGGCACCAATACGTACATAATATCCTTGTTGAGGTTGCCAAAGACCGATGTTCTCGGAGGCTAGGCCGACAATATCGCCTTTGCTATCGATTATACAAGCGCGGGCACTACCAGTCCCAACATCAATTCCAATATAGTGGTCTACGCGGACCTGTATCTCATCCCGCGTATCTATCGACGCCTGCCTAGAACCCTGCCGAGAGGGTCGTCGATAAGGCATTTGGGGTATAGAAGCCATGGAGTTGGGATAGGAACGGCGAGAGACACTGGGATCGAGCGGAAAGGGTCTATATTTGTACGATAAGGAGGGGCACAGATTTTAGCACGGCAGCTGTAAAAGAGACAGGCGGAAAGGACACAACTGGATGGGAGAGGGTGAGGTGGGGGATTTTGTGCGATTGATGGGTAGATACTGCAGCCAATTGATTACTTGGGTGACACAGACTTGGGACTTACACCTGATTGACGGACTATTATGTTAGGCACCTGCGGGACGAAGGAAATGGGTTAATTGGAAGATTGTGAGAACAAAAAGGGGACAAGCGGCAGTCAAGAGAGGTTAAAATAATCGATTGGGTGCAGTGCACTGGTTCAAACTCCATGAATTTATCATCCGGTAGAGATTATTTGGAGAGCTCCCCCCACCCTTCATAAGAACTAAATACTATGCCGACCCACTTCCCTCCTCTTCTTCCTATTTATGTTCCTGCGGGGATGGAAGGGGAAAATAAACATTTGTGAATAGCTGCCAGTGGATATACCTACAGTATTTCAAAGGGAAGAAAATGTATTAAACAATAGGCCGCTCGATCTGTACTTGTATAAATATTATTTTGTTTATGATGAGAGTATGCGGGGAACTCACATCAAATCAAATCAGTAGTAGTAATTTTAGCGGGTAACTCTCCGCGCTAATCAAAACATTCCACCGCTCGCTGCCCTCCGGAGCTTGGATAGTCTAGATGCAGGAAAGCTAAGCTGGTTCCAAACCTTCCCGCCTTTCGACTTTCGGTTTTCTTCTTCTTTGTCTCAAACAACGTCCTCCCCTCAAAACTTAAAACCTCGCCTCAATCAAGAAACTGTTTTATCTGCAGCTCAGAAATCATGCGGTCATCCTACTTCAATTTCCTGCCTGCGCTCTCCCTATTCTCCCTCTCCGCGGCCATCTCCTCATCCTCTCAACCACAGTCAGCCGAGATCCTATGCTGGCCTGTAGCTTCTCCCGAACCGTCCGTCCTGGCTCACGTCTCCTACGATTCGTCCACCTTGCAACCGGAGTTCACCTTTTCATCAACGAATATAGCCGCAGCGTGCGGTGACAACGAACCGCAGGATGTATCCAATGACTTGATCCGCCTGGGCTTGTACACCTCGACGTCTACCAACACCAAACAATGGGTAGGGACTCTCGCCTCACGGTCCTCCCTCATTGGGAGCGAGAACGACAGGCCAACGCTCCGGCTTCACGTCGGCCCATCCAACAATATCTACTACGTTGACCTGCTGCCGTCCATCTCGTCAACTTCTTCTTCTACGCCAGTAAGCCCAAAGTTGGAGCTGTTATCTAGTCAAGCGGGTCCACGCCCACATCTCAATCAGCCTATTGTGCTTGGTCCGGATGGCAAGAATGCGGAGGAAGTCGTCGAGAAAACCATTTTCCAAAAGTAGGTCATCCCACTGACTGTCGCCTCCCGCCCCCCACCACCTCTTGAGTCGTCCAGGCTGAATGGTCTAACACGTATCTAGATACTGGTGGGTTTTCCTCATTGTCACCTTCTTGGCTATGTCTGGCGGTGGGGAAAGCCAGTAGATTCTTGACACAATCATTGCGTAGATCAACTGTTCTCCCTTAGACATGGTATACTAGTGTTTCTTGGCTAGGTTTGTTGCTGGGTGCAAACCCCCCAAGATTTATTTTAATTATGAGCAAATCAATGTGGTCGTCCCAGCCGGTTATGCGTCCCCTCTAGAACGTCTTCAGCTCAGCTCATATGCCACATTCATATTCCAGTTTCGCCAGATGCTCGGTGGGCTCTGGCATGAAAGGGAAAAAAGATCCATGCTGCAACGTGCGAGCGTGTCCGGCATCAGCTATGCGCAAATAGGTGATGTGGTGTTATCATACATCTCCCTTTGATAACGGGGCTTAGCACTGATATTATTCGCCTCCCAGAATGGAGAGTCAGAAGAGGTAGGCCAGATGATGTCTTGACATGGTAACTTGTAGCATGCGCCCACTCTAACCGGAATCGGAGCCTCATGTCTATATTATGATAAAGTGCACTGGATCCGTGCTATAATTAATTGGTTCATAATAGCAGATGGAACATGTTTGCTCAAATTATCGTCCCATCTTTGTACTTCGCAGTTGATGTACTGCTTACTGTTGATCCCAATCTCTAATTGTCACGATCACATATGCAATCAGTGACAGATGATTTAGAAGGAGTGTTAGCAGAAAACAATTTTGCAATTTCTGATCACTTGAATATAAACTTTGCCCAGAAGCTCTTAAGAACCCGGTGCATTTTCCATGCCCAATTGATAGATTGTTCTGTGACTACCCCCGGACGGGTCGAGATCACAGTATACGAGACCTCTGTCTGTAATGGCTACCAGGTCATTTTCACCTAAGCCAAAGCGTAGCTGAAAGCATACAGCATCAAGGGAGATGGTTATAGGCTGCAAATCTATCACCTCGGAGCCTGGTGGCCAAGATGAGGCTGGGTAAAATCCGGTTGCATTATGTTCAATCAACGCGCCTGGCTCCAGCGCCCAGATATAAATTGTTTTCCAGTTCGCAACAGCTATGCGAGTTCCTAACTTGGAAGCTGCAACTATGCAACCAAGTGAGGTATTCGAGTTCTCAAAGCCACGAAGACGAGCCACGATCGTCCAGTCCGGTAACCGCCGTCCGCGCTCAAGATGTAATTCATGCTCGCAGTTACTGGCTCGACAAATAGCCTCAGAGGTCAGGAGGCACGCGACAGTCCAGTCCTCTTCACGATGTGTGGCTATTCCAAAAGAAAGGTATTTCCAGTGGCATCTTGAGAGACCATTCTGCACCCGGGTTTCATGTGTACCAAAAAATGGTATTCCAATGCCGAACAGCAGCGTCAAATAATCTGAAAATTGCACGGGGCATGAGTTTTCATACAGTACAGACTGAGTTGGAAAAGGCAAGAGATCGATCTTCTGGAATGAACCGTACAAGGCTTGTGCACGGTACCGATATAGCAATTGACTAGATCTGTCATTGAACGCAAGTCCCACCACGGGCCCTTTTCCGACAAGACAGTTCCGAGTGTTTCTAGATTGGGCGAACCTATCTTCTTCATTCTGCTCTCTCGTCCTTTCCAGAAGGACGCAAGAATCGTAACTAATATCTGAGGTTGCGTCAGCATAATCAGGCAGGTCTGGCGAAAGTTTCATGTTAATTGAGAAAGAGAAAAACGAACCGATGACACCCGACTTTGCACTGCTGTGCGGATTAGTTGAAGCCGTGTATAACACGACTTCATTGTCGCTACAATCGTAATTGTGCTGCCACGAAATAGCAAAGCTGCCGCCTTGCATAGCTGCAAGCGCCAGAGGCTTGTAATTTGCGTGATCTGGGAAAGCACACACTCGAACGGGCTCGCCAGGCGAGTCAAGGGAGTGGCATGAGAGGTAGTTCATTCCGTTAATGTTAGACTGCATTGCTTGCTTGATAAATGGGTGGTTTGCGTTTGTATCAGTCACGTCCATGGCAGGCACAAACCGCTGAAGGACGTAGAGGCCGCCATCTCCATCGAACGCCGTCTGGAGGACTTCGCATATCCCAGGGCGGTCACAAGGGAGATTGATCTCTCTTAGGGGTCGGAGCTGGCCATGTTCAATGCGAAAAATATAGACCTTCTCCCGGCCGCGCGCGACAAGAGCAAGGGTTTGGTGATCGAAACTTGAAAAGGTGGATGCTTTGACATCGAGAACATCGTTCCCAAAGTCATAGATTACACGATCTGCATGATATTGCGCACCATATAATTGCTGGAAGGCATGCTTTGTCAACAAGCGAAAGAGTTGTTTTGAGCTGAGGGAGCGTAGGTCTCGATTGACAATGCCCGGTGTTCGCCGTAGGTGATGCAGAAGAACCTCTCGGCAAGTGGAAGCGATCTCATGAATAATGCGACAGGAGAAAGCTGCCTCTAAGAACGCAGGTGTGTTGCAGTTCTGAAGAACCAGTTGAATCAGTTCAGGTGGGAGTTTTAGGATCATGACACTAGATTCAGACTAAATCTTTGAGGCTGAATGTCAAATGAGGATTCGGAAAGGTCGCCCAAGTACTTCACTCAAGAGGGTTGAAATGAGATTGTACAACCTGGTGCGAAGTAATGCCTTACGTTTCAGCTCCAAAATAGAACCGGAAAGTATTGTGGATAGTTGGGGACGAGCTTTGCTTAGTATTTGCTTTGGGGGTTGCTCGCTTTCCTTATATGAGCAGAATCTCAGGCAGCCGCCGCCGCCGCTGCCGTCGTTACCTGTTGTTGCCTGCCTGTCTCGACTCTCATAAATTTGCATTAAACCTCCTGGCTTCTACAATCAATTATCTTGTTGCGGTTTAACTAGAGACCTTGAATATAATGCGGCTCTAAAATGGCAGGATAGTACTTGATAAATGTAAGGAAGTATTCTAGAGACTTAATGTACTAGTGAAGAGCACACTCGCTATGTTGTCCGGATCCACCCGCTTTGACCGACCAATATATTATACAGAGTCTCTCAGGAAAAGTGATCTACAGGGCTTATCAAAAAGCAGGAAAGTTGGAAGATTGTAACCGGTGACGGGAAATATTCAGTGTCTTCGCTATGCTGACATGTGCCTGATCATTCGAAGAAGACGGGGAAATGAGGGATGTACAGAGGGCCAAAACTTCATTGCTAAACCCTGTACGCAGATGACATAACGAAAACTATATCCAAGCCGTCTACTATCACGACCATCCCCAGTGTCTAAACGTCTAACCGTGATGAAAGACCCCTCAGCAACCTCCTATATCTTGCTCTTTCCCCATCTGCGCAAGTGTCCATTCCAAGACGCTCTCATAACACAGAACAAACTGGCTCAAATTTTGCACCATGCTTGGCCTCTGCTTTCGAAAGTCGTCTACCGTTCTTTCGATGAGATCCACATTGTCGGTCTGGGACCATTGATTCATATTTCCACCCGAGGCGTGCGCTGCACTGCGTTGTCGTTTCAACATGTCCAGCACGCTATCCACTGTGCAGAATGTCCCAGTACGGCCACATCCTGCGCTGCAATGCACCAATACCGGCCTTGAGTTTGCGCGTCCATCGCAAGAACCCTGATGTGATCCAGTTGTTGCTGCTGTAACTTTATCACACTGCTCGATAAGTTTGAGAAGGTGTGCTGGTTGAGATGTGGTCCCAAAATCAGGCCAATGGGGATATTGTAGCTGCGTTACTTCGCGCAAGGGTTGGAATGGAAATGATGAGTGCGACAAGCCGAAATGCCTGACAATGATATAAGGACTGCCAGAATCATCCGGCTTGTCAAGCTCCATATCAGTTGGCTGCGGATCTTGCGCATCCAAATAGATGAATTTCTGAGAAAAGTTGTTGACCTGACAAGGTCCATAATTGCCCGATTCCCAGTAAGGGTGGCATTTGACATGTCCCCGTTCAACTTCGGCAGTCAAAGAAACCACCAGGCGGACATCCTGTTCCCAAACAACGCGCCAAAAGTCCTGTGAGACGAATGAGCATTCAACACGTAAATATGTGCGTTATCCCACGAAAGGCATATACTTACATTGAACGTATCAGGTACGGGTGCTTGGGTAGCTATGTAATGTTTACCACTATAAGCTGCCTTCATGTGATTTGCGTTCACATAGTCGCAGTCTCCGGGTGACACATTTTGCAACTTCACCCTGGAATGATCGAATGGGTAAATGTCGTTGTATCTATTCTTTGTGCCTTTTTCAATTCCCGCCACGCGAAAGTTTTCCGAAGAGTCATTCATTGTAGCGGCATCGGTAGACTTCTCGTAAGACAATGCCTTCTTCATACGTTCCAGCTCCTTTTTCTCCAGACCCAGAAACTTTTCTGAAACTTTGCGGCCTTTATCTGAGGACTCTGACACTTCGCGCAGCCAAGGAGGGAGTAAGCGTTTCTTGGTTTCTGAAAAACTGTGAGGTACTTGAAGTGGGATCTGACCGACACCGCCGATGAGATCCATGTGTTGTCGTATGTTCCCGAAGAAAGGGATTGCGGCATGGGAGGACTCGGGGAGAGCACAGCCGCCTGCAACAGGGGCGACACTTGGAAGATCAATATGCATTCGAGATGGTCTTCCCGCGGGTGAGTCGGATACTGGAACTTGCTGTCCTTGAATGAAAGTGGGAAAGCGAGATGAAAAAGCTTTGTAGCCCCCAAGAAGTATTAATCCCTCACCGCTCCACCCTTCTGCAGTAAACTTTTTAAGAACATTCATCAGCGAACTGGCGTCTTTCATGTCAGATGTGGCAGCATCATAGACTATTATGTAACGACATCTCCTCCACCCCGCAAAGCTCTCTTTGTCAGCTTCATTCGTGAACGTATTTGTTAATTTTTGCGTGTCGAAGGAGGGTCGCTTGAGAAGGGTTGTCGGAATACAAAGGTTCAACGATCCTCTAATAGACCCCTTCGCGAAATGCGCGTAAGGCCTTACATCCAATAGCATGATGTCCCTATGAGAGGACCCGAGAAGTTCTGCGCAGCGCTCAACCGAAATGCCATGCCCGTGAGTAGACGTCTGCCTCAAAGGAGATGCATCCTGTCGGGCAGGTATCGGACTCCGTCTCTGTAGGCTAGGGTTCCAGGAAAGCCGAAATACCGGTGATTCTCTGTGTTCGTCATCGGCCACTACCCCGGTCTTCGGCAGGCCCACATAATCCTCAAAAGCTTTGTTTTTGGATAAGAGCTGTGCTTTGGGACTAGAAACCGGGGGCTGAGTGTATGATATCGCATCCCGGCTTCTCCTTGGATTACCAGGGCTTTCCACGCTAATAGAGAAGTAATTGGGACCTGAGCGTTCTGCTACCGAGTTGTGAGGATTGATACCATGTCCTAGCGGGGACATTTGAGATTCACGCAATGTGAAAAGGGCCGATGGGGTAGAGGAACCCTCGAGCTGCAGGTTTTGACACTCCGGAGGCCAAGGGGACGTAGGTGATCTTGTACCTGTCATGGCCGACATGACTTTCAAACTCTCAAGGAAATATCAGTGCCTTCCTTCTGCTTGCCAGCTTGTTAGATGACACGTCAACATTCAAACAGTCATTGCCATAGCGCGATGAATATAATCTCCGAATGTGAAGAACAATCTCAGAAACCGTGAGCGAGTTTAATTTCTCCGACAACTGGCGGGGAGAAAACACTGCTTTTCCATGAAGTATACACACTGGTCTGTCTCAGTATGTCAACAGAAATCCAGTGGCTACTCATCGAAGGCGTAGATACTAAGCCTGAATGAGAACGTAGGCTTCTGAAGGAACCCGTCGTCAACCTGTCTTCGAGGGGTCGGGCTGAGAAGAGGGTCTGAACGGGTAAATGCGGAGGGGCAAATACAGAGATAGCTGGAGGCGATGGTGGCCACACTGCGTAATCGGCCTGGTGAGATGCAAAATCTCAGAAGATTCAGATGCAATAGTGATATCCTACTGAAGGAATGAAATGGATTCGCGGGTAAAAGCACTCAGTGATGAGAGACCTAAGTGACCGATGAAAGGCATGAGGAGGTCGTGCTCTCCTGACCAAAGCCGCAGTTGCAGGATCCCACGTCTCACTGAAGGGGCCCAAAACTCGTACTTCCAGCAGAGCAGAATTCTAAACCAATGGAGGACTTGAGGGGAGGAAAGTGGGGGACACAGGGATATGACTGATATCACTGATCCACAGCCATCATTTTCAAGCACGTAGGGAAATCGGGGGCCAACAACCGAGAAGGCTGCGTGGAAGAGCGAATGGGCTGGTGAGAAAACCGGAGGGAACGAAGTCGTTCTCTGGATATGACGTTATGGGTTGGTGGCAGAGGCTCGGGAAGCGGCAAAGTGTGCAGAGCCACTCGTTACCCACGCAGCAGCGGCCGGTCTGGATCGCTCAGAGCCACCAGGAACCGGGAAGGATGTGGCGAGTCCATCATAACCCCAGCACTCATTCCCCCCCAAAAGCCCATCCGAAGGGCGCAACAGGAAGGCGAGACTTCATCATGAGTAGTACAGCGATTTAATTCAGAAACGAAACACTCAAGAATAAAAGTGTAGAGATGTGGAAGAGCACCCATATTGGTGACAAACAGATGCTTCAATATCTGCTAAAGTGCCTCCCTTCTTGTTTAGTTCACTTTCCCCCCCTTACTCTACGCATTTCTTTGATGATGGAAGGGACCTAGTTTCCTCCCCCACATCCGCGTAAACTCCCACGACAATAAGTCGTGTCAAATTCGTAGGCATAGCGCGACTACGCACTAACAGGTGGCAACAAAGCCTTGATAAAGCAGCCAGCTGACTTGGCTCTAGCTGCTACTCTCCATCGCAGAATAGACGAAATACATAGTACATAGCTGGGACCATGTACCCAAGGTTACTACTAGCTGCCTAAGGCTGCCTAAGCTGGGAGACGCATGACCTCTGTAGGTGGGCTTGCGTATCATTGGAAAGAGTAGGGTGTAGTTTATGCGCAACTATGGTGACCTTGGTGCTGTGCACGATTTTGACCCAACATTTAGGAGGATAAGCCAGCGGTTCAGCTCGGGTCTTTCTCGCACATTCATCCTGGGAGGTATGGAATTTCCAGGAATAGCTTCTTGTCAATCATGAATAGTTGCTGGCTGGACATGCTTCGTTTGGTACGGGACAAGTGAGGCATTAGTAGAAAACAAGTAGGTGCTTGTGGTGTACAACTAAGACTAACATACTTACTAACATACATGAAGTCGTATCAGCGTCTGCTGCGACGAGGCGAAACTGCAGATAGCACCAAGAAGGCAGCATGATATAGAACCTCCATAGTCTGGCCCTTGGAAGGAATACTTGTCGACTCTATAAAAACGGTTCAATATCAGTGACGTTCAACAACTTCACATTGCAAACGCGTGACAATCATTATCATTACATACCAATGTGCGACCATAGGTAAGACTGAGCTACATCGGGCTTTTTAGGGGGGCTTAAAGGGAAAAGGAAGTCGCATGTATGTGTCTATCGCCAAAGAGTGGTTCACATCGGCTCAAGGTCAATTTGGAAGCAAACGTGGCGCATCTCAAAGTTTTCCATCAGGCTCGCCTTTGAAGCGTTGTACTCTTTTTTGCTCCCAATCATCAAGATCTTTGGCCATAAGCCGCTGTAGCAATGGTACCAGGTTAGCTGCTATCCCACATCCCAACTAGATTACGCAGATCTTGCTTGACCGATAGGCGTGTATACTGACATAGTATTCCTCTCTTTCGTCACCAATAACTCGTCGCCGTGGATTTCGCTTGATGCCCTCATCGCCATCGGGCCCTTTGAGGCCTAGATTGATCGCTTCCTCTTGACTCAATTGTTTAACTTTGCGATCGTACCGCTCGTACCTCAGAGCGGCAGCGGGTGTTAATGCAAAAGACCCGGAAACTATTATCATAATGAAAGGAAGGCCGAAGAGTAGGAATGGGCGTTTAGTTAGATGAGCCCGGTAGGCCGCGCCGATTCGTTCTCCGAGAGTAGACGATGCTGTTGTTGCGCGTCGAAACGTCTTGGCCTGAAATACCGGCATTGTGTAGCGGCACGTCAAGCCTTCCCTTGGGATGGAATTGGTTATGCTAATTAATGTGCTGGGCCAAACACGCGCCAATACTTGATAGCGACTACCCAGAATTGGAAAGTGAATAGCAAATTGAAGTGAGGGAAAGCGGTCAATCATTGATCTCCGGTAAGCCCGACAAAGCTCGGCAAAAAAGTAAGTCCGACATACCTACGGAATCTGGGACTGCACGCCAAAACAGTTTATCAACCGACTTGTCGAATCGCAAACCAAGCGAAGACAGTATCAGGGTCGATCTCGAAAAGGTATCATATTCATCTCTTCTTACTTCATTGACAGTGAGCTGCAATTTCCTAAACTTACTTTAAACATAATCATGCTTATAATATCTATTTGGATAGCAATCACAGTGGACGTTCCGTGACTGCTGGATAAACACAGACAGCATTAGCCCCATATCCTCCTAATGGCCTCCACGAACACTGGCTCTCTCTTTGGAGGGGGTGGCCTAGGAGCTGCTACGCAATCATCGAGTCTCTTTGGGAATCAATCTGGAACGTCGGGCCTTACAGGTGGAACAAATTTCGCAAAGCCGTCGCAAGTGCAACAGCAGCCTACTTCGAGCTCGGTCTTTGCACAAGATCAGGCACAAGCCAATGCAGCGCCACCGTCCAGCCAGACGACCCAGCCGGCTTTTTTTAACAGTTTACTAGAACGCGGAAAAAAGAGACCAATCTCTGCAATTGCTCAAAACGGCAATTTCGAGGAGCTGCCAAGTCTTCAATTGGGTCTTGACGACATTCGCAGAAAAGCTAGGGAACTTGGTGCTGGTGGCTCAAAGGAATATCAACCTCAAGTACCACACAGCAAAGCGTAAGTTAACCTCCTTCTGCTCAGATCTTGTCGGCTGATATTTTATTTAAACCAGCCATTATCTGCTCGCGGCTTCGGGTGTATCTCCTGGCCACGCCTTGCGGGACCTGAAGGCTTTGGACCCTCAAGCATCGGTATCGACACCACTGAGAGAACAAGATACTTTTGACCCAGACAACCAGAAATTTTTAAAAAACATACAACAGCGTGGTCGTCAAGTGATGATCAATGAGAGTCTTGCTCGGACCCAGAAAGATTTTGACTCATTCTTGGAAGAGAAGGTTGACATGGACTGGGAAGAACAGCGCCGGAAGATATTCCAGCACTTCGGGCTAGCGCAAAAAGACGATGGCGCTGGCGATATAAGAGGTAGCTTCGGACGCACGATGCGGCGACCTAAACAGTTCGGCCCTGCATCCACAAATGGCCCTACGCCTTCAGGTCGGCGAAGTGTATTCGGACGCTCCGCTTTAGAAAAGTCCGTCATCGGGACCCCAGGAACAGGGACGGCAAGCCTCCGGCTCTTCGAAGATTCTACGGAGCGCAATGAGGGTGCGGGGGGTCACTCTGATCTTCGCTTCTTACGAGAGAAAATGGGCTACTATGCAGACAAGGTTCGGCAACTAAATTCTGCTAGGCTACATACTAGGGCATTTCCGATCCTTCATGAGTTCTCCGATGTTGAAGGGCATGCTGGCGGCGATGTAAGTTTCTTAAACAAAGCCCCGTACGCGGTTGACTGACTCTACCAGGTACCTCGACAATTATACGATGCTTATAGAGCTTTGATAAGCATTGTTGGGGAGTCTCCAGATGCTACCACCATGAATGATCCCTCGGCTCTCGTGGAACGTCAGTTTGCCCAAGATTATATGGATGAGAGCCCAAATTCGCGCAGAGCAGTAAGTCTGAGAAAACGGATTGTTGAGGGCTCTAGGTCTTTCCTGGAAAAGCTCTTTTACGACGAGGTTGAAAGTGTGATTACCAAAAACCCTCGGGAGGCGCAACTCGGTGGCATACCAACTGTGACCAATAAAATTCGTGCCTATATTCGGCTCAGAGCGGCACGGAAAGACCTTGCTCCTGATGGTACGGAGTTGCAGATGGTTGGCCAGGATTATTGCTGGATTCTCATTTTCTACCTCCTTCGCTGTGGTTTCGTTACCGAAGCTGCAGAATACGTGAGCCAGGATCCCGGCTTTAGGTCTCTAGATCACAAATTTGTGACATATATGACTACATATGCGCAGAATCGACGGTTGCCTAGAGATCTGCAACAAAAGATCAACGGCGAATATCAACAACGGTCTCGCAATGCGCCTGATAACACAGTTGATCCGTACCGTATGGCTTGCTACAAAATCATCGGACGCTGTGAACTTGGCCGCAGGCGCTTAGACGGTATAAATCAAAGTGTTGAAGACTGGATGTGGTTACAGTTCAGTATGGCTAGGGAAGATGATAGAGCGGAGGAGATCGCCGGCGACGTCTTTGGACTCGAAGACATTCAAACTGATATCACGGAGATTGGTCAGCGAGTATTCGGAAAAGGCCAAGAGGGGCCCGGAGGCTATGGAACCTTTTTCTTCCTGCAAATCTTGGGAGGAATGTTTGAGCAAGCTGTTTCATACCTTGGTTCTTATGCTCCAATCACAGCTGTGCACTTTGCCATTGCCTTGGCATATTATGGTGTGTTGCGCGTCTCAGACTTTTACACGTCGGGTGAAGAGATATGTGAGTGGAAACCCGATATGTCGTGATAAATGCTATAGGCAAGACTAACAGATACAGTGTCCTTTACTGTGAAGCAATACCCACAGATTAATTTCGGCTACCTAATCACGCAATACACGAGAGAATTCCGGACGGGATATGTGGAAGCGGCCATTGATTACTTTACGCTGTTATGCCTCAACGCCGACCTGCCCGGAGCTCTGGGTAAATCCCAAGCTTCTGTATGCCACGAAGCATTACGGGAATTTATCCTCGAGACCAGGGACTTTGCTAAACTGCTGGGCGACATCAGGTCAGATGGAAGCAGAATCAAGGGGCTGATTGAACAACGTATTAGCTTGATCAAACTGGTCGACCAAGATGAGTTCCTCAAGACGATCACTCTGCAAGCAGCAGCTATCGCCGATGACAAGGGCCTTATAACGGACGCGGTCCTGTTGTATCATCTTGCCGAGGACTACGACCGCGTCATTGATATCATCAATCGAGCGCTATCTGACGCCGTTGCTGTAGAATTGGGTGGACCCGCCTTGAAATTGCAGCCTTTGAGGCCTCGGACCGATGAACATGAACTGGAGGCCGGCGGCAGTCTCAGCTTAACAACCGTGGATAATCCGGTTATTCTGGCAAGAAATATGATTGGGTTGTATAACGCAAATGCGATGTATTACCAACGGATCCGGCAAGTCAATCGCGATGCATGTGGATTGTTGCTTAGGATGATGGAGGCTAAGGTGGAGGTTGAGGCAGCAAAATGGACGCCGGCTTTGGATGTAAGTTGATCTTTCTACTCGGGTTGATAGGCAGCGACCAAACTAACGGTTTCCGTCTAGGCTATTAATGATCTGAGCATTCTTCCATTGCGGGCCCGAGGCTCTGTTCCCTACATTAGGAGCGCTGCCCAAGCCTTCTCGTCCTTCCCGCCAATAATTTCCCATAATGTCGGCCATGTGATCATGTGGTGTATCACATGTATTGGCCACGAAAGGGAACGGCTGAACTCTGGTACATATGAGAACGAGATTAGGCAGGGACTGGCGGATGAGTTGCTCGTCATGGCCAGGGATTTAATGATTTTCTCGGGGATGGTCAAATACAAGCTGCCGCCGAAAGTATATGAGACGCTGGCGCGAGCTGGAGCAGAGATCGGCGCTTATTGAGAAGCCAGCCCAATAGGAGGTTGCATTGGGCTTTAGCGCGTTCTTGACTTCTGTATTGGCTTGTACTCAAGTTAGATTCTACATGCAGTTATTTGTCGGCGACTGAGGTAGATGCTACAACAACACAACGTAATCGTTACTCTGTAGCATTCATTCGATATCTAAACTATAGTTTGTAGAGCTGCATATTTACGACGCGTACCAATGAATGACTATAAATGGCGCTTGGTTTCCGGCAAACGCGGGCACTTTCCGCAAGAGAGGGTGCCAAGAAACGTCGGCTGGATGACGGAGGGAATTGACAGCACAAGGCCTAATCTGACCCTGAACACTTTTAGTCAAGGAAGAGCGCCTAGAAGTGAGTGGCTCGCATTAACAGACAACAGGCGTCACGTATTTACCACGATAGCAGTCCGACAAGTGCATCGTTTCTGAGCCATGATATGAGCAGGCTAGCTGCGGGGCCTTTTCGACCCGATATTGGACCACACCGTACGTGTCTCTCAAGCTGCCCTTGGTCTAGCCCCAGGAAACTCCGATGTTCGACATGGAAAATGACCGCTCAGACGCGTCTGATACGAGTACAAAATCATTATCGCCCGACTCTGGGTCGGGCTCATCGTGCGATGATGCTCCGAACCGTGCAAAAGATGGACTGGAAGAAGCTCCATTGAACGGACGCATGGTGGCTTTCTACGAGAATGATAACAACCGCAACGACGATAATAATACAACGCCCGCCGACCTCATACCCCACGATGCGGTTCTCGAAACCGACCACTTTTCTGGGAATGCGACGGAGTCTGTAAGACCAGAGGGATTGGATATACAAGGACCCGTGCAGATAGGAAGCGACCACAATTCCGCGAGCGACGATATCCCTAGAGAAGCAGATGTCGACGATCCCAACTGTGACTCCCGGTCAAGGGACTCAAGCTCGGCCACAAACCACAATCTCATCAATAATCCCCCCAATCTTGCAAGGATACGCCAAGTGATGTTCGAGTGCAAGGATCCCATAGAGATTAGCTTGGAGGAATTTGAGACTTATTGGCCGTTTATCGACAATGTATGGGTCAAACAGAGGTCTAATTCCAGCAAAGAAGGGCATTGCACCACGGACTATTATATGTGTCGTTTGCGACGCCCCACTCATCGTACGTCAGAAACTCGTCCTCTTCCTGAGGGCAAACGCCCCCGAAAGAAGAGAGTGCGGGAGGGTGGTATCTGCAACTTCCAGATCAAAGTTGTCAAGTTCGAAGGAGCATATTCGACGGTGACAATAGCGAGAACTCCAGGGAGCAGTCGGGTACATTCACATGACCTTGATTATATTGACCGGGTGAAGCGAAATTCTGGATTAATGGAGTTTGCGCGGAGGGAAGCAATCAAGGGGTATCTACCTTCCTCAATTTTCACGAAGTTCCAAGAAGAACCTGAAAAGCTTGTTGAAGCTGGGGGCAAATTCTGTACAGTGACGGACGTGCGCAATGTCTCGGCGAAGTGGAGGATACAGAACCCCGACGTTAAACTTGTGGCGCATGAAGGCTATGAATATCATAAGGGTCACGGCATTGTAAGGATGCGAGCGGCTGGTGGTTTCAGCAATACTCCGAGCGACAAGTTACTCTCGAATACAGCCCTACACGCATCTTTGCCGCCGGATACGCTCTCCTTCCCTCGGTTCCCTCTAGATTTTCTTGAGCCTTATCTCCCAAAGCACAATGATCGCCGCCAGTTCCCTCATGTCACCCTGTCCTATGCATCGTCGATGGATTCTAAGATATCACTCCTGCCAGGCATGCAAACTGTGCTATCCGGGCCAGAGGCTAAATTGATGACCCACTATCTCAGGTCACGTCATGACGCAATCCTCATCGGAGTTGGAACAGTGCTTGCAGACAATCCCGGGCTAAACTGTAGGCTGGAAGGCGCAGGTGGGTTCGGTGGCCTTGGAAGGATGTGGCAACCGCGGCCAGTGATAGTCGATCCCACAGGACGATGGCCTGTACATCCAGACTGCCGAATGCTGAGGACTGCAGTAGAAGGGAAAGGCAAGGCGCCGTGGGTAGTGGTATCCCCAGGAGCCAGGATTGACCCACAAAAGTTGATGATGCTGAAGGGCTACGGGGGCGATTATCTCCGTATCATGGAGTACAATCAGAACTGGCGGCTGCGCTGGGAAGCCATACTACGTGCGTTGGCATCTGAGGGGATCAAAAGCGTCATGATCGAAGGCGGCGGGACCGTTTTGAGTGAGCTTTTGAACCCCGAATACACCGAATTTATTGATACTATCATTGTTACTGTCGCTCCAACCTATCTTGGCTCCGGTGGAGTAAGTGTGAGCCCAGATTCCAAGCGGGATCAAGAAGGCAAGCCAAACGCTGCTCTGAATCCTAGGGACGTGAAATGGATGCCCTTGGGTCAGAATGTTATTATGTGTGGAAGAATTCGGGTTGCGCCCTCTACTGAGTCTCCTACTACTACTACAAATGCCGAGTCGTAAAACACACCATTGTTGCTGAGAACAAAAATGTATCCCCCCAAACCCAAGGTGGCTGTCAGCGAAGTCACGATGGATGTTTTACAGGAACAGTTGGGAGGACCGTCTACTGCTACATATGGCAGCTTGGCAAGACATAGCAGTCCCTACTACTAGTAGTCAAGAATGCCTGAGCAATGGAAGAAGTTGAGTCCTCGGAATTAACCAACTTCATGCATGCATAATTCCCAGGCCGGTACTATAGCTTATTTTGTATTCAAGGGCACCGAAATGAAATAGTATATTTAATGAAGATTAGGGGAGAAGGAGGGAGAACAAAGAAAGAAAAACAAAGAACCGTCCCTGGGATGTGAATGACCAAGAAAAATCTTGTAGCGAAACATATAAATACTGCTAGGCATCTTTTTTCTGAGTTGGTGTTTTCAAAGAATGGGTTTCTTTGTTTAACGGGTGCCATTGTTCTTTAGTGTTGCTCTGAAATCAGATCGCAAAAACACAAGAAGTAACAACAATAACACCAGAGCTCTTATCGCGTAGGCGCATTCCCCACCCTTTCTTGTACCTTTTTCTTTTCAAATCGTCCAGCGCCTCTTCGGTGGCTTTTCTCTTCCCCACCTCCTTCCATCTTCTTTCTTTTTTAACAGCTCATTACCTGGGTCACTGGTGAGCCTTTTACTTTTTCCAACTCATTAAGCCCCTGATACGCTTCCGGTGTACCACTGCAACGGCCAATCAGCCAAGACATAGTTGTTAATCTGACAGCGACTATGCCGCCCAAGAAAAGCGCACCCAAGCCGGCTGCGGCATCAGCTGCGGCGGCAAAGGTTAAACAGACCGCAGCAACTACAACTACTACGACGAAGGCAGCTACGAAGGCTAACACCAAAACAACGACGAAAGCGAAGAAGACAACTGCCACGACCAGTACTGCTCGCAAAGCTCCAACTGACAAGCGAGAGGCCCCTGCGAAGCCCAAGAAGACCACCAAAAGACAAACCGCGAAATCTGCCACGGCTCCCAAGAAGGGCGGTGGAACGGACGACAACCTTGCAAGCAAGAAGCGTGAAGTTGAGCCTGCGAAACGTGCAAAGCGGAAGGCGGAAGTTGTCGATGAAGCTCCAGCTCGCGATTTGAAAAAGGCCCGCGTTGCCAAACCCCGGGTTACTAAACCGAAGCCGAAGGTGGTCATCAACCATGCGCCAACCACTCGACTAAATGTCTATGTGTGCGGCGAAGGCAGCTCTGGCGAGTTGGGCCTGGGATCTGCTAAGAATGCAATTGACGTGAAGCGGCCTCGGTTGAATGCCAACTTGCCAGCGGACCGTGTCGGTGTCGTGCAGGTCGCTGTTGGTGGGATGCATTGCGTTGCACTTACGTATGACAACAAGATCCTTACATGGGGTGTCAATGACCAAGGAGCCCTTGGCAGAGATACTACTTGGGACGGTGGGTACAAAGATATGGACAAAGCCGACAATGAGTCAGACTCGGACTCCGATGATGACATTGCTTTAAATCCCCACGAATCAAATCCCACTGCTATTCCGTCAGAGGCTTTCCCAAAAGACACCGTCTTCGTTGAAGTTGCTGCTGGCGACAGCTCAAGTTTTGCCCTTACGGATGATGGTCAAGTCTATGGTTGGGGAACATTCAGAGTAAGTCAACCTTTGCATATTCTTGTATAAAGAACTGCTTAGGCTAAGAGGCGAATTAGAGCAATGATGGTATCTTAGGTTTTGATGCCACCAATAAAGTCCAGCTTACGCCTAGTCTGATACCGTCTTTGAAGAAAATCAAACACCTGGCTTGTGGCGATAATCATGTCCTGGCACTGAACGAAAAAGGTGCTGTATTTTCATGGGGTTCGGGCCAGCAAAACCAACTGGGCCGTCGTATCATTGAGCGAAACAGATTGAACGGCCTGCAGCCGCGCGAGTTTGGCCTGCCGAAGAATATTGTGCATATCGGCTGTGGGGCTTTTCACTCTTTCGCTGTTCATCAGTCCGGAGAGGTCTACGCATGGGGTTTGAACAGTTTCGGCGAAACGGGTATCAGGGCTGGTGCCGGTGACGATGAAGCTGCAATTGTGCATCCCACCGCCGTGGAGTCGCTATCTGGGAAAGCAGTTACACAGATCTGCGGCGGCGCCCATCATTCGCTTGCCATCGCTGATAATGGAGAGTGCCTTGTATGGGGACGATTGGATGGCTACCAAACAGGTCTGAAAATCGACAGTCTACCTGAGGATGCGGTCATTAAGGACGAGCGCGGACGGCCTCGTATCTTGATAGAGCCTAAAGCTGTTCCTGGAGTCAAAGCCAATACTGTTGCAGCTGGTTCAGACCATTCACTCGTCATTGATGTTGATGGTCGTCCTTGGTCGTGGGGATTCTCTGCCACCTATCAAACAGGCCAGGGTACACCGGATGACATTGAAATAGCGACTGTCATCGAGAATACTGCCGTTCGTGGGAAAAAGTTAAACTGGGCCGGCGGTGGTGGACAATTCTCCGTGTTCACTGAGCCGGCAACATTAGCATAAACGAAAAGCTAGTGCCAGGGAAAAATTGGAGATACACCGGCACTTCATCAATGAGCCCCGCGCAATGGCATGTTTCATGAGCCTTACCAATCTTGTAGATTATGCTTAGACCAGTTGATAAACCATTGCAGACACGAGAGGGGAAGAAAAGGAGAAGAGAAAGTGAAGAAAGCACATTATGGTGGTATCTGCTGAAGCACCGCATTTTCGATAATACTTGTACCTTATATTTTACGGTGACTATCAAGGTAGAGGGAAAGAGCAAGGGTTTTTTCGAAAAAGGAAAAAAAGTGGCCGGCTAGACCGTGTCTGCGCCATGTAGAAATAGAAATAGTTAGTCCACTGTACGAAACATTCTTGGTGCCCTAAGTGGTTGTATTGCTCGAAACATCAATATTGTCTATAGAACCCAGGCTACCCATAGGCTTATTGCCTCAAGCCCATGCATCTGGTCCTGCCAGATTATGATTATCAATAATGCTATCCTCGTGCTCGCGAAGAAGTGCTTCCAGCTCATCATCATCATCATCATCATCATTATCATGAGTACCTTCTATGATTTCTCTTGGGACACTCTCATCATCCGACACAAACAAATCTCCCTGCTGAGGAGCGTCTCCTAGCGTAAGTGAGGATGGCTGAGCTCCGATGCCATGTGTGGGAGGCGACTGTGCCACGCTATCTCCTTGGCCAAAAATCGCGTCGGCTTCATTTAGATGCCTAATAGACATACTATTGTCATGGACATGTGGAGCCGAGAACCCCGTTTGTTGCGCATCTTCGATGTCGGTTGCGGGGAGTCTCGGCTTTTCCTCGTCTATCCATTCTCGTCGCATCGTCTGCAAGCGTTTCGAATGACCCAGTTTCTCTATGATAGCCAATCCATCAGCGAACTTCGCGCGAGGGAACAAATCATCGAGCCATAGTTGGTAGAAGTTTAATAGTCGAGCGGCGTCCGAAAACTTTGAGAAAGTTAGCTACGCAGACATCCCTCGGCGACAGTATGAAGGGTTCAGCAGACCTCATGTCCTTTCCCTTTGAACTTCAATTTAGACTTCGCCGTAGAACGCAGTTTTGGTATGCCGGCTTGTGACAGTAATCTAGGAAGCAATAAGCATTGTATTCAGAGCGCTCCCCCGGTTGTCAGTCTTACCGGCCCTCATCCAGCTTGACAGTAGATCGTCGCTGCTTAGTGATTGTGACCTTTTCATCCAAGCCTAACATAGGTGCAGCAATGGGCCCACCTCTGTTTGAATCCACAGTTATATCTTGCAATGTGCTCTCTAAGCCGGCATCATAATCGAACAATGCATCATCATGGCCCATTGATGGGTTTGAGTAGCCCACATCTTTCTCCATCATCCAACGAACCTCCTGATGACTTGTAAAATAGTGAAAATGACAATCTTCTCATAAATCCCGGTTATTGTTGGCTGAACAAGTAGTACGCATACTTCGATGAAAGTCCGCAAATGACCATCTCGAACAGCTGTAAACGGATAGCGTTACGCGTCGCTCAAGACGCGTGCCAGGTTCTCAGCCAATTTGCCAGAAAAGGTAAGATCAGTACTATTAGTATCATATCATCAAAGTAGGGTAGGCGGTCGGGCTAGCGTGACAACGGGTTACAAAGCCTTTTCAGCATAACTGTAACTAACTACGCATTACCTAGGCTTTGTAATTATGAATACCCGCTAGTCTTCAATCGGTATGGCTTTGGGCTTGGCATAACTCCGTCCGACTTCCATCTCCATTGAAGCGGAAGCCAATCCAGAAACGTCCATTATAATTCATCCTCCACTGTCCCAGCCCGGTCACAATGGCGACTGATCACAAGTCAATTCTTGTTCCCCCAAAGCGGGCCAATACAGACTACCCGGTAGGGTTGATTATTCTCTATCCGAAATGGAGTTACAGATCTTGCGGCTAACTTTGGCTTTTGTAGCTAATTGACTCCGACCCGTATGGACCAGCTTGACGTTGCCATATTGCAATTGACTCACTTTTTAAATCAGGCACTTGAGACGAGTTTTCGGATATGCACGACCCTCTGACTACGCAGTGGGCGGCGGAATGGCCGCTGCGTCTCCTCTTGCGTTCTGGGTTATGGAAAGAGTGAGCCCTTCTCACGTCGGCAGGGGAGGGTTCGCTCCTGTGATGCGCCTAGCAACAGCCATTGGCCTTATTGGAGGTCTCCACGTGGTCTATCAGAGATCCTGCAGTCAGTGCAACCATGGAGCAGTTGTTTTGATCTACGCCCTTGTAATACTAACGTTCTTGTGCAGACCGCTTCTATGGCTTCACGGAGAATTCGAGGGAAGCTGATATGGATATGAAGGAGATGGTGGACAAAGTCAAGAAAGGGGAATCCCTATATGGCACATCTAAAGTCTCTTCATACCTGCAAGGCGTTGCTGCTCGAAACTCTAGATACTCTGAGCTATTCATCCATGTTCTTCCATGGTTCAACCTTGTCAACCATGACCAGGTAAGTACGATGGAAGAGCCATCACCTTTCATACATAACCATCAGCGTCGGGTATAAAACTTGTTACTAACTGCAATACAAGCATGGCGTCGACACGGCCAAGTACTATCAGCAGGCCGAGCGGGAGCTGGAAGCCGAGCGGTTGAAGCAAGCTAGCTCCTAAACTTGTGACATGAAAGACGGTATAAGGATCGGCTCGTTAACGTTTCATTGGCTCTTGCGCGATATTGTATATTTAGTTCCTGAAACAACGCAAAACCTAAATGGAACCTTTCCCTCACTTCACCTTGATCGCTTCTACACGACATCGAAGATGCTTAGCCCTCAGCTTCCTTCATTGAGCGTAAGTACAACCCGTTCCCGCTCAAGGTATCGGGGACGCAATGAGGACTTCCTGGTCGAAATCCGTTTTCAATTCACGGTGCTTTTTAGGGCGGGGCTTGGGCGCTGCTCGAAAGAGTCTGTTAGAAGGCTTCCTTGTCACAGTTGTCAGAAGCTAGCTACCTACCCTTCTCATTTTCTTGTATGTAGAAGCGCCGAAGTAACATGATAGCTTCCTTATGGAACAACCCGCCTTGCACAGGGTATGGTGGATCTATCGAGCGACTAGTATGAATTAGTTCTAGGTCATAGAGTGTAGGTCCGCGGGAAGGCAAGAACGGACTCGGCATGTAGTGATAGAATGCTACCGGTTCCCCCGAACCTGTCATTTCCACAACCGAAGTATACTTTTCGTATCTGATATTGTCTCAAAGCAGATGCACACATGACACACGGTTCAACAGTTACATAGAGGTCTGTTGAACGCAGTGCTGACCTAGGATAAGTTTGGAGCATTTCTCCGATGGCAATGAACTCGGCATGTCTTGTACCCTGATAAGACCGGCTAGTTTTAGATTTCACAAATGCTTTCTAATTTTGCTTTGATGGGGACTCTCCCAAGGGACAAGAGAAATTGAAAGATTCATTGAAACTTCCGAGGTCTCCATGGGTTTTGATGGTTCAGGCAGCTGGCTCACCTACATTCATAGATTTGTTTGTATCATTCATTCCAAAACCAACAATCTTGTTGTCATACACCAGAACACAGCCAACCGGGGTTTCACCAGTTGCAAGGGCTTTTTCTCCCTAGAGCGAGTATAAGAATACCAATCTCCAGTGTCACTAGGGCAAGATACAATTACCATCATTAACGCCTGCTTCATGAAATAAGCATGTTCGGCATTGTTCTCCAGCAACTCAGGCGGCATGTCACCAGACATCTCCATATTTCATCCGCTAGACTGAGAAGGGCTTTGTGAGATTTTTGCTGGGAGGTGTATTAGCTGAGTAGTAGTAGTCGGCACTGATGACACCAGGAATAGGCTTGACAACAAGTATAAGAGTCACCCGAGGGGGTCACTCTGCATGTACAAAGTCACTGAATTTGAGCACAAGTTTTACTAAGTTTCTAGACCTTATGTTTCCTTTTGTACCCCACCTGTTTCTACACAGGAAGCGGAAGAGAAACTTTCCTTGTAGAGCTCTGTGAGCCCGTAGATACCAGGATTTTGCCTTGAAAACCCATTTGATTACCCACCGCCCGGAAGTCCGCTTATAGTAGTAGTAATGATACCACCGCTTCCAAGTACTCCGTATACGATTACTATTCTGCAACCGTGCACATAACAAGTCGATACTTGATGGTATTCACTTTGATAGCAATTGATAAGCGGGGTTCATGCTTTATACCCACATTAACTCGTGCATTAAAGAATCTCAACACCTCACTGGATGGATAGACTGTGGGGAAACCATACATGTAACTTACACCGTACTACGCGTCACTGAAACATACATGAGTATTACTATCCGTAGATCTTAAGCCGGTCTGATCACCACTCTTCGCGCTCAACGAGGCCTGGGAGAAATCAGGACCATGTATAAAGGCATCGCCAATGGCAACTAATAAGCGCAAGGAGTCTCGTTTACCTATTCCTGAGGTTGCAGATTGGAATCCTGCAGAGCCAGTTTCCTCTACGCTCGCAGCCAACCTTGCACCACACCTTTCATCACAGGGTGATGGGACGCTTGGTCTAACTAAAGAGGCATTTTCGCAGCTCCGGCATGAGTTGCTTGAGGGGAAATATAGTCATCTTCAGCTTAATGATAGTATTACTGATGTTAAGAAACTGATTTGCATCGTGCTGAAAGCAGGTCTAGAGCCTTGTATCAGAGATGATAGGTCGGAATTGCAAGGTCAACTCCTGGACTGCTTGGACATCGTCCAAAATGCTGTTGACAAAGCCCCATTAGCGCTTTTGGAGATGCCAGAGCCAGAAGTTCTGGGAAAGGATGCAGCAAGTCCCCTGTACTCGTGTCTAGTCGTCTGGCTAGTCCATCTATTCTCTACCTGGGACAGTGAGCCTGTCGAAGATAGAATCGGTGGCATCCTCGCAAGTATGTTCAACGCTTCACACAATCATACGAAGCTATGGTCTTCGTTTGTTGGTATTACTGCCTTTGTTCGGGCCTGCACTACTGGTTTGTGAGATTCCTCGGCTAGATCTGAGTCCTATACTGATCACTCCAGAACTCCTTGATGCTCTTGACGCCTATCAGTCTCGAGCTCGGCTTACCCATGTGGCCGGCTCCCCTGTAGTATACCCGAAGCAGCCTTGTACTTTGGATCTTGACAGACTTGGCCTGCGCTGTGGATCTCTGAAGAGATTGATCAGACTTGATAGCTGCGCTCAAACAGTCCGTCTATGCCTTGATATGCTCACATCTACAATCAATGCTCACGTTTCTTATAATATCCCCTCTAAACGACAGGACTTGGCATGGCTCTCTAATAGTTATCGGCGCTTGTGGAAGCTCGCTGTGCTTTGGCGCTCCAAAGCAGATACTGAGGACGTCACAAACCAAGTGCAGACCTTTTCACAGTTCCTGAGGTTCATAAAAAGATTTTGCGACCATGTTCCACATACATCAGCGAAACAGAGGCTAGCATACATTTCCCTCCAGACATTCGCAGAAACCTTTGCTCTAGAAATGCTAAATCAGGCTTCTGTTCTCCAATTAAGCCTAAGCCATGCCATTGACAGCTTCACTAAGGCTTTCACATCCGAAAAGGATATAATGCAATCAATGGGGGCTACTGTGCTACCTATTAAGAGTAACCTCGCATTGTTCAGTTCATTCGATACTTGTCTTCAGGTATATCATCCCGTATGGCCCTCACCATAGCTACCGTCTGGTTAACTCAAAGCTAGGTTGCGATCGAATGCTCCCTCGTACATTGTCCCATGACTTACAATTCTTCCAACGCGAAAGGTGCAGAGGCAGCTTTCTGCGGGGGGCATTCAACGGAAACGGTAGCTATTCACGAATTCCCGGGTTCTGACCACTCTTCCATTAGTGGTGTTGGGGCTGTCCGGATGGCCAAACATCGCTGTCTCCCGCGATTGGATGCCTACAGAGAAGGCCGAAATGTGGCAGAGAGGCTTATAGCCAATTCACTTGAACTACTCGGCTGTGATCGGAGTGGCACCCTGGGGGATCTGAGCTGTGCGGTTCTGTAAGTCGACATGTATTGCCCCCATGAATACAATTGTTGACTGACAACGGAAAGTACATCATACATTGGACTATCGGAGCAGGACAAACTAAGATTCTTATGTGTTCTGTGCAATATCCCCTGTGCATTGTCTGGAAACCTGGTAGATATGTTGAATGTCGATACAGAGGACAATTTCAACTGTAGAATCTGTGACTCCAAATGTCGTGATATCGAACCAGAAAGCAATTCCAGCATTCTCAAGAGCGATGAACTATGTCAGATCTTGAATCACATCATTTCGAACCTTTCACGGACTGCAAATCTGAGGATAGCTGCGACAGTTGCGTTAAGAAGGACGTTGATGCATACTTCCGACCCAGCTCATATGCAGCTTGCATCTTCTGCTTTCGGCGAGTTCTGCCTCAATTCTCTCAGGAGCTCTGTCAGAGAGCTACGTCTTACTACAGGGTATCCTCTATTGAAAGATCTTGCGAAAACTTTGAAGTGCTGACCACTCTTCAGGCATTCGATAACCTCGTTCGTTCGTAGAGATCTCGACCACGAAACCCGACGAGGTAATTTCATTGTCATTCTGGACTGGTTGCAGAGCCTCTCTGAGAAACAGGAGACGCCATTACATGAGACATGTATTCTTACTTTATGTCATCTGGCGCAGTGAGTTTGATCCTGTCAAGTGGTTGTGAGCATTCGCTAACATATCGTATATCTACAGGTTTTCTAACGACGAAGAGATGAATATCATACTTCTTCGTCTGGTAGAGTACCTTGGACATCCGAACCCGTTTATAGGGGCGGTGGCTTATACCGAAGTACGTATGGACCCTGATATTGTGATCATATACTGCCTTCCGCATGTGACTAGATTAGGCCATCATCTAATAGAACTTAGCTCTCAGGGCTTGCACAACATCTTTCTGTCACTCCGGCCGCCTTGTTCAGGCCTTTTTGGAGGACCTTGTCAGTGACCGTTGTGAGGAATTTTCAGTCTCGCCCCTACATGGCAGAACAGCTCTGCGACCTCCTGGGTATGAAAGTGGATGACTTCCTCAGATTGACAGAGACCTATGTCCTTCCATATCTGGTACTTACCCGGAAGCGCGATGTGATCGTCAGAGTTGGGGCAACGTACAAGGACGCGAAGACACCATTCGACATTTGCTCAGAGAAGAACAATCTTGCATCGATACTCGCTTTTTTGCTGAGCCAACCATCGCCGAATCCAGAAGAATCCGTCATGTCCGCTTTGTCGGAAGTTGATGCTGCCTTTAGGGGCCGTACTCTGGCTGAGCTTTTGAGGATTGAGCCGATACTAATTGCCTGTGACCTACTCAAAGGCCTTGGCGACTTGGGGGAGGACAAAGGCAAGAGGGTAAGTCATTGCCGATTCCACAGCGCGATCGACGTTGACACGAAGGAATTGTAGTTTCTCCGCGCACTTCATCTTTTAGCCGTCCTTGTTCCACGAAAGTCAGGTCACACACCAAAACGAGCGAACCTTATAGGATACTTCATTGAGGAGCATGTCCTTGGAATCATTACACAGTTCGCTCATGCTGTAAATGACTTTCAGATCAGACAACCTCTGATTGAGAAAAAAAGGAACATTGCAGCGATTGGAGAGATGATAAAGGTTGCTCGTGGCCATATCAGTAGCGCCTTACCTCAGGTTCGTACATATGTCAGCTCATATAATGTGATTTTCAGTAATAAGCTAAAGTGACATAGATATGCGCATGTTTACGAGCTGCTCTTGAAATTCAAGAGCTGTGTAATAATGCATTCATCGTCTGGAGAGTCCTGATCATTTCCCTGCAAGAAGAGGAAGTTGAGCCCCTCATTGATCAGACACTATCAATTGTGATCAGATACTGGGACATGTTCACTGAGGATACAAGGAAGCAAGCGCACGAACTCGTTGAATACATCATGCAGTCTCACCATGAGTTGGTACGCGATATCTTCAATACCATGCCCTCGCTAGCTTCAATTCCAATACTCGACAAGCATGAAGCCACGCTAAATAGCATGAAAGAGAAGATGGATGTACGAAGCCATTTCCTTGCATTCATTCGTCGTTGTCAGAGTGATACTGCAACGGTTGTTGAGCAATCCTTGCACGAGCTAGTTCCTTATCTCTCCCAGAATGAAGAGTTCATTCATAGATCTGTTCTCAGTGAGATTCCAGATCCAGTTGTTGCACAGCTAACACGGTCATTGCTTGATTGTTGTGTGAAATTTAACACTAGCTCGGATGTTATAACCAAGTTATCGGCTGAATGTCTAGGCTTGATCGGCTGTCTTGACCCTAACCGAGTGGACACGGTGAAAGAAAAGAAAGGGATTCTGGTTTTGTCCAACTTCGACAGCATGGAAGAGACCTTTGACTTCATACTTTTCTTCCTCCAGAACGTGTTAGTCGAGACGTTCCTATCAGCTTCTAATACTAGAGCTCAAGGATTTCTTGCATATGCGATGCAGAACCTACTCAGGTTCTGCGGTCTTGATTCAGCCGTGGCCAATCGATCGCGTGACTTCCGAGCAGATGAGAAATATCAACGCTGGCTAGAGCTACCTGAAACTGTTCGCAACATTCTAGCACCTTTCCTTACCTCAAAGTATACAGTTACCATTGGGACCCTAAACACTAACTGCAGCTATCCCTTGTTCACAGCTGGATTGACACATGGCAACTGGCTACGG